TAGATAGATCAAAAGATTCGGGAAATCTAAACATCAAATTACTTTTTAAAAAAATGGTTTTCGTTTCCGTAAAAGTTATGAGGAATTTCAGCATTTGATGAAACAATAAAAAAAAATTGGTTTCTGGATCACATTCGTTCATTTCGAATTGTTCAATTAGCGCACTATATGACATTGCCCCTAACTGCAGTCTACCAATGGTTCAGATTTTGTCACTGGTTCGTGAATACTTTCTATATCTATATTTTGATATGTTAATTGGTATTTATATAGCATCGATATTTCAAAGCCTTATCAGTTTACAAATTATTTCCACATTCTGTTTCCCTTATAATGGATTCGACTTCTCATGGATTTTGGGAAGGAATTGCATCTTTTCTTTGTCTTTCAGAAAAGCATACAAACTTCCTTAGAATTAGATAACGATGCGGTCCAAATCAAGATAGCAGGATCATAACCATTAATTTGTATAGGAAAGAAAAGATATGAACAAGATTTTCAGCTTAAGTACTTGGCTCAGTTCACGAATCACCAAACGTATTGCAGACGACTGGCATAGTATGGGAGTAAAACATATCCTGGATTTCATTATGAATGAGATTCATTCACAGGAAGCGAAAGTTTCTGCAAGGTAAGGCTACTTTTTTTTTCTCTAACCACACAACTTTCAAGCTCCCTGTATAATCTTACTATTTAAATTTTGTTTATTTAAATTTGGTTCCACCAAAAAACTTTCTCAGACTTAGCCAGCAGTTAGCAATCACTGAAATCGAGTTCAGTGGAATTGGTCAACAGCCTATTATTCGAGAACAACTTAAGGTTAATTTGTCATCTGAAGCCATCAAAGAGAGCGAAGCGCTGAGAAGTATAGATAGGTTATTATCAGAAATAGCGCTATTTAAAGGTTCGTGGATTGTTACGTGTAGAAGCCAAATAACTGCTCATCAGTGAAAGATCAAAGTAGTGGTTGAACAATATTCATATGATCAAATATTTAGTTTTCTGGATGGGATATTGAAAGCACTTGCAGGACGACCAATAAACAAATTACGAAACAGATTACGAAATTACGAGTCCTAGTAATATGATTAAGAAAACTGCTGAGTGTTCAGTTGTTCAGTACATTGTATTTACTCTTATTACTAAGACTGTTGATTCATTTTTGTCGTCGCTTAGGAAGGAATGGTTTTCAAAACGTCATTTTCCATTATTCATGGAAACAGTCATGATTTCGGTGGTATTTGCAGGATAACTCTTTAACGATTTTTCCAGTGGAGAAAAAATTGGCTTCTTTCAGTACTAGTTTGCATATAAAGAAACGAAATACGTCAGAAGGCGGCAAAGCTTTAGGTCAAATTACCGAACATGCCACGGAATACGATGCCGTTTTGCAATTTTACTAAATTGAACAATATATGGTAAACTGATCCATTGTGCGTATTTAGGAAGTTTATGCACAAGAAAAGCTTTCTTGTTGCAGATTGCCACAATTTTGAATGTTAATAATTTGAAGTGATAGTGCTGGTATATATCGAGATGAATATTCTTTTAGCCTTAAGTGTATGAGGGGTTATCCTCTGCAAAAAGATTGTATGCTTGAAAACAGTTACTGAAAAACCACTTAAAATCACCGTTGTCCAGTGCGTGATAAGAGATGGTAAAAACAACAAATTGGATAACAAAGAGCCGAAAGTATAATTCCATTTCTTCAGCTTCTTTCCGTATGTGAAATATTCTGTTTGGTTCATCCGGAGGAGCAGTATAGATGTCATTCTATGCATAAGGCTGGCAATTTTGACATCATTACCGTCATTATTACTTCGCAGCAAATTCTGATGACGTTACTCATTTAAAGCAACTTGATGAATCTATTTGCCTGATGTAAAAACTATAACCAGCAATATTTTTTTTCTCAAGAATCAGATTTTCATCATGATGCTTTTCTTGCAGTTTTTGTCGATCTAGCTTTTATCTAAAGTAAGTTTCGACTCTAACATTTTTCCACATTCATTTTTTTCAGAGTTAGTCAGCTTCGGTTTGTACTTATTTTTATATTCATTCAAATATGCGTCCATTTCTTAGCTCTATACTTTAAAAGGATTTCATTGGAACCTCATTGAGATATCTTGTTGTTTGACTTTCTACTACGGTTTTGGAAGCTACTCATAATGTCTTGGTTTGGGAAGTTACATATTTTCCTGGTCTAAAGTTACTTTAAAATCCAAATTTTGCAGAAGAGAATATTTTATGGCATACCTAATTTAACTCTTTTAGCCTAAATACGGCAACTTTATTTGGATTGTATCTAATAGGTGTTTTTTTTCTGATTTAATAGCAATTCTCGTGTTTGATTCCCGTCCGCTTGATGTTATGGGTTGTCCCTACACAAATCAAATTCCTCATAATCCTTCATATTTACATTATTTTGATTTCTGGTTTCCAATTAAAAATTATACTGTTAATATCTTTGTCGCAGATTATCCGATTGTAGCGTTTATTTCTTTTTTTTCTTAACCGAAAGATGTGAATACACGTAAAAAAGGAAGCGACATCAAGTTCAAAGGAATTCACCGCGAAAAGTAGATTCTGTTTGGCCACTTATTATATGTGATTTGTTTAAAGGACTTTTAAAATACTGCAGAGAATCTCTATAGAAGTATAAATATTCGCAAATGATTCGTTTACACAATGAATGTACATGAATTTTGTTGGACTACATTCCTATGATTAATGGATGTGTGATGAGTATTGCTTCTCCTGTGTTAGTCCTGCTTGAATGAAAATATGCACATGAAAGAGAATGTTACCAAATATGTTTGCCTTCTTAGATAAAATGTCTACCGCGTAGACTGCTTTAAGGATATTTTCAACACTGAATATGAAATGACAAATTCGGCATACGTCTCTACCAATTTCGTTCAAAGTTTCAGTCCCGTTCCGTCCAATTTGGTTGCATAGACGTTGTATGATACTTATTGAAGCGATTATTTACGTGGGAAGGATGATGTTAGGTCTTGAGTTTGGGTTTGTTGCAAAGCATAGTATTGAACGATGCAATGTGAAAATTGGACAAGGAACAGCTTAGGTGGTAGAGACCGAAGATAAGTCGATGATAGATTCTCAGTCACCAGAGACAATGTCAAAGTTTTATGTAAATTATCCTTTCTCCTGATTAATCATTGTCTTTCTAACCTTCTCCAGTCTTTTCCCATTAGTTTTTGGATACCCTGAGATTGATCAAAGATCACTGTTGATTTTTACTGCTTCAAATGATCGTGCAAAAGTGTACTGTATTGACAAACGTAGGGATTCCCTTCATTTTGGCAGATATAATCACCGTCTTCGACGATACACTGAAATGCGAGATTACAACTAGCAACTTATTCCTTAATCATCCTCCTTCACCAGTTTATCTCTTTTGCAACATTTGTAGTGGTTGTTGGTATGGAATATTGCTTTCCGAGTGCCAAGAATATCGTGATACACCAAGGGCTTGAGTTGACCATATATTATCCAATACTTTATAGTTATGTTGTTTTTTTAGTTCAGGATTTATGTAAATAACAGGAATGGAGTAATTATGTTTTATGTGCAGGTCAGGCATTCATATCAATGAAAGATCTAGTCACTGTTTCACTATTTTCTCACATATAGTCATCATTTTCCAAGCGAAAACATTTTGCATTAATTACGCAGTCAACGGCTTGCATACTTGTAGTAAATTTAAATGTTGGTAATTTCAGTTATGGATATTGTTACGCCTGAAAGCGACGGCGGTGTGCAGATGTCACAGTATCAGTGCTCATTTTATTCTTTACGTCCTAAGCGAGTTGATTTTGATGCTACTTGGAAAAATATTGAAAATTCGATCAAAAGGATCATGAAATTGGAACCACTGGAACGGCGTGTTTGGGACTATAATTTTTAGTTAATATTGAATTTTTTCAAACATCTTTTTCGAGACGAATTTATTCCTGTAAATTACATTGTGCAAATTCTCACTCCTGGAGAGATCAAGTTTTCTCAGTGAATTATCTTACCATGAAGATATACTTTGTAGAATAGATCATTATCTTTGGTCGGTTGTTCTTGTAGGAAATGATTCTAAGGCGCAAAGCTGTACAAATCATTTTACAGGAAATAATCTTCCATCCCAGTCCAACATACATCCTACCATATTGAAACATGAACTGAAGTTAACACTTCGAGCATTTCCTTGCATAAATGATAACCGGCATTATGATTAGATTATAAGAAAGAAAAGCAAACAGAATAAAGATCAGACGAAAAGGGGAGAGAAAAAAATGAAATAATATTTCTAATAAGTAGTTTAATCCTAATCAGATATATTTCCTTCTATATTAGTTTAATAATTTAAGTCGATTCCTCCATACAAATTAGCTTTTATTTGGGTATGGCGAGGTATTATATCACTTAAATGATTGAAATCAATTGCATTGGAACTTACAGTACCTCGTCAATCATTTCAGTGATATCTATTCCTTATGTGTTGCAATTCCCGAGCCATTAAGTGAACGCCTCTATGGAAAAACAAAAGAATGTTTAGAAGCACATGTTACCGAATTATATCAGGTATTAGTGGAAGTGTTTGTTTTATCCAAGTAAATTCCAAGCAGCAATGAATTTTGAAGACATTCTGAAACCGAACAAGAACAGTTTTACATAATACATGATTAAGATCAAGTTTTTAAACTTTGGAGGACCTTAACTCTTAATTTAAAAGACCATAATTCTCTTAAGGGTCTCTTGTAGTTGGTTTTCCACTTTACACGAAAGCGTTTCTACACTGCATGTCCGGTTCATCTGCTTTTTTTTCTACACTTCTTTTTTTTGCTTTCTACTGATGAGTTTTTATAGGAGATAAGCTCAGCAAATGACTGTGAACTTCTCAATACTTACTGCCAACTTTGGAACGTATATTACAAGGGAGCATTATGTGTTCATAATCTCTTTGGGTAAGTGATTGCTTAACTGGACTAGATAAATTAAGAGCGTCGAAGGTTTATTATTTCTGTTGACGACATCTTGCTTCTTGTTATATGTCTATTGTGCATTCTCTCCGAATATAAAAATATGGATGTATTCAAATTGCCCAGTACAAATGTACAAGCTGTGAAAGATTACATTTATTGGTATGTTTTTTAAAGGTACCTTAACAAGCAGTATATCAAAATTAAACGTTGTACTGAAATTGAAGGTGGATACGGAGCTTACAGTCAATATCTTACACAGAAAGATGTCAAGGAGATTGGTCTGGTAAATTTTCCCTTTTTTTGGATTATGATCAAAGTAATTTTGTGGTTCTAACACAAACTTGATGTCTTATGATGGGAATTACTTCCAAGCTTTTATCTTTACCAATACTCTGATTTTCATCGGATTAAAATGGCGATTGAAGTAAAATGATATGACATCCTCACATTCATTTGCATACGAGAATATAGTCAGTTCAACCTGGATTGTAGATCTTCCAGTTTCTTCCAGTTTGTTTGTCGATCAAACGTTAACTATAAACTAGAGGATTGGAGGAACCAAGAGTTTATTGTTCGGATTGAGCCATTGTTTATGGGTTTTACTTCTTTTTCAATTCGTTCATATTTCTTTAATTTTGTAAAGGAAAATTGCTTTCTGTAAAAAAACGTATATTATGTCGAAGTATTTATTTCGTGAGAGATTGTTTTATAGCTTGCAATGGAAATTTGGCGCAAAAAATTAATAGATCCTATGGAAAAGCGACTGATTGGCCATGTATTAAGTGCTATTGCTGCAGATCGTGAAGGAAGAAACAACGTTCCGGTGGACACTGTCCGAGGTGCCATCATGTCCTTCGTTCAAGTATGCAATAATTGCTCTCGTTTTTATATTTGATTCCTTGAATAAAACCATGAGTTCATTAGTTCTTGGTAGTCATTGATCCAGAATTTTTTAACAGATATGAAGCGTCCTTGCCGATGTTTCATTCATTTTTATTGCACTGAATAGAGTGTTTTCTTCCGTCAAAATTGTAACAGATTCACTTGAGGAAAAGATTACTTCTCATCGATGTTGATCGACGAAAAGTGAACATAAGTTTATTTAATGAATCTTCTGACATGTTGTTTGCGTTTTTCAGGTGGATGATGTGGACGGCATGCGCGAAGTATTAGATAAATCACCATCAAATTTGCCTCAGAATTACGAAACTTATCGGGAAATGTTCGAAAAAAGTTCTTGGAAACAACAACTGAATATTACACTGTGCTTTCTATTAAACTGCTCAGTGAACTTAGTTGTTCTCAGTATATGGAATCTGTAAGCTATTTTTTATATTCTCTCATTCCTATGACTTTCTGTTTATATTTTGTAATCCTAACGTTTTCCAGAAATCAAAACCAATGTACAAATTCTCGTCTTATGGCTGTTCGGGAAAAGTAGTGATTCGGATTTGGGATTGTAAATATATGTTCTTGAGGCTTCTAGATAGCCAGAAAGATTGTTATAAAGTGACTGCTGATACGAATTGAACAAACCTACCAGTTTTAATCTGTGATTACAATGAAATGATCAGAACAGATTTTAAAATTGATGACTGAACCTGAAATTTGTCTCCTTCGATGCAGTGATGTCGAGTTTATGTAAAGTAATCTAGATAACTAATTATCGGCAAGTGCATAATTTCAAGGTGATTACACGAATAGAAGAAGAAAATGAACGCGCAATTCGTTTCCTGCACAAAAGTAGCCACGAAAAGGTTACCAAACTATGTCAAGATGTAATGGTGGATGCTCATAAAGAACGTTTATATGCTGTTTGCCATGAATATATCGAAGGCGAATGCATGAATGGTATATTTCTGTTTATCTCCTATAATAAGGCTCGCTTATTGCAGACATCCCGTGATTGGAACCTTCTTGATACTTTTTTTGCCGTCACCAAATTATTGGATTTCGTTTAGACTTCTGTCATACTGTTTTGTAGATACCTTCGCGAAACTGCTTTGTAGATACCTCAAAGATATCTTCGCGAAATACTTGGCTGATTGGAATTTTTTCCGCCATAGTGCTTTCCCGGTTCTAGCGGATTCGCCATTATTAAATTCATTTTTTCGGAAGTTTGCCGTCATTTTTAGTTGGAAAATAGGATTCATTATATATTGGCTAGATTTTTTTTTTTTTTGCAGATCTTCACAATATGTATCGCATTCTAAAACCTATAAATGGTGGGTTGTTGGTTGTGATTCGTGAATTTCAAAATTTTGTCAAGAAAACTGGTCTTGAAGCAGTGAAAGATATGCATGGTGATAATATTCCCCAACAATTTGTAGAAAATGTATTACAGGTATGTAATTTAGCGGTTTTTATCGTTTAGACTACATCAGGGGTTTATATTCTTCTATATTAATGATAGCGGATTTTGATGAGATGAATGCTTTCATTATGGATTTAGACTTGATACTTTAGTGTGATTCTATTAAATATATGTATTATATTCTTTTTTTTCTGATAAAATTTCGATATTAGACTTCAGCTTGACTTAATACACTGATTGAGGTGATACACGAGAATAAGTTTTTAAATTGAATGTGATATGTGAATAGCATGCTAATCAGCGCATCCATAAATTCATGGAACAGAAAATTTCGAGTAAAGACGAAGACTTGCAGCGTACTTGATAAAAAAGGCTTCAAGTACCAATGGGGTTGCAGCAACATGCCTATTTCGCTAATTTAAATATCTAACCTTACTTTATTGTTTCATTTACCATAATGTCGTACTTTTTGCATTAACGGTTCTACGTACGCTGTCTTCGCTTAATTAACCATGTCTTCGTATCGCTCACCATCGTAGGTTAGTATCTCTCTTGCTCCCATCCACTTGTTTTTTGATTCACATTAAATTTTTGGCAGTATTCCGCGCAATATTTTATGAATGGCACATTTATAATATCTTTCAATTGTACAGATGATGCAGTAGAAATCCAGTAGCTTTTTGCTTTTATTTTCGTACACTGTCGTTTTGAGAAGTATTTATTGGAAGATTGATATGGATCTTAAGAAAATATTTAAAGTGATATGATATTATGTCTCGAGAAAGTCGCAGCATAATGCCGGGCATGTAACTGATCAAAGGTAAGGAAGCTGTAGAAATTTAGAGAAATTATCATGACTCACAAGTATGTGCAAATAATTCTTTGTCTTATTCTTTAGAAGTCATCTTTACATCTTGTACTTCTCTCTTATCTGTATCTCTCACTGCTAAATTTAAACAGCTTACATCTTTATGCAGCCTTACTAATCATTTTCGGAAACAACTTGCTCTCAACCCGTTCACAACTAAACTGTTAATTACACATTACTAGCTCCTTTATTTCGTACTAATATTCAATAGCTCTTCTATTTTGTATTAATATTGTTTATGCAGTCTTACCAGTTTTTTTCGGGAACAACTTTCTGGCAATCCATTCACAGCCAAACTGTTAATTACACATTGTTAGCTCTTTTATTTCTTATCAATGGTTAATAGGTATCGTTAAACATAATGTCAGTGTCATTGTTTTTCATTTTTTCTTTCTTTTTTGTTTTTTTTGTTTTTTTTATTACTTTTTAGATCGGAATTTTGGAACAGCAGTGCTCAGGTCTTCACCTTGACCGAAGAGTTAATTTTGTTGTTATTTGCGACTGTTTATAGGTTTACAGCAGGTTCTCCTCAATGGTTACGAAAGTTTATTATGACGATGGCGACTTCGTTGGAGCTCTGGATAAAGTACTTCTTGGAAAATATTATAATCTGACTATTAATTTAAATAGAAGTTAAAACCTTGTATCTATGATTTCTGTATCAAATGCTGAAAATAAGAAAACAAGAAAACGTTGATGTTTGAAATCTTAGTAAAAGGAAGTGGGTAACAACTTTGTTCTTTTCTCGACCATATTTTCCTTACATTATATTAGAGTAACTTCCTTAAATCCGATTTCTTTGAGAAGTTCCTCGCTGTTTTCTTCTCTCTGGTACCATTGGTATACGATTTCAGGCACTACAAACTGTCGTAAACTACCGCGATGACCCACGTCAGGCGCCGAAAGCATCGGAAAGGGTAAAGATAAAGGACGTTTTTTAACATCTATGCTCATGTTAACAATTTGATCATGTGCTAAATTGTTGTATTTTTTTCTTCTATGAATTTCAAACTTAAGATTTTTCTAGGAGATTCTAAGAGAAATGTTTAGTCACTGTTGACTTGATCAAAAAGGTATCTGATCTGCTTGCCAATTGATTTTCAAGCAGCAAATATATGGAAATGTTTTTTATTCGAAGTATTATGTTAGATTCAATTATTTCTTTTTAAGCTTGCGCGTTTTACTGACACGCTTTTGCGCAAATCTGGCAAAGGCTTAAGTGACGGTGAGCTGGATACAAAATTATCACAGGCAATTATTATTTTTCGATATATTGAGGACAAAGACATTTTCCAGAAGGTCGGTATTCTCTTGGTATTTTTATAAGTGTAAACGAATACAGAAATGTTTTATACCTTTAGAGGTCCTATTTTCGAGCATATTCTGGCTTCATCATATATATCGTTTCCCTCCCTTCCATTGTATTCCTAATTATAGTAAAATCCATGTTTTTGTGCATAACGTTTTTTATTTTATATATCTAAATTCATCATTCAGTTGCTAGCTATACTGAAAAAGTGAAACTTAAATCTAAATTCGGCATCTGTGTTAAAACACTATCGCATCATGATATTCATAAATAGTGCTTCACACTTTTTCGCCTGCAGTTTTTATCTATTCAATTTTAGTTCTATTCGAAAATGTTGGCTAATCGTCTAATTACTAATGCTTCTCTTTCGAAGGATGCTGAAGAATCGATGATTAGCAAACTAAAGGTAAGTTTTCGTTATATATATACATTCTTTTTTGGAGGAAATTACAAATTTATTGAATTTATCAAATCTTGAAAAGGTTGATAACACTTGCAGTTGCTGTAACCATGAATATTTCTAGCAAGCATGTGGGTTTGAATTCACGAGTAAACTGTCGCGAATGTTTACAGATGTTGGGTTGAGTCATGAGCTTACGGACAAATTTATTAGTGTAAGTTGGTTTTATTTTACTATAATGTCAATCCACCGTTTTGAAATGCGGGTTGAAAAAGATTGGACAGATAACTGATTGTGTTATGTAAAAATATATTCCTAGTAAAGCAAGATTCGATCAAATGCCGTTTACGGAAATTCTGAAACTCGCAGTTTCTCATGTTATAATTATCTTTCATATGTATAGCTGGAATGAATAGTATTCCAAAACATTAGAGCTAATCGTTTCGGATTTTTATGCCGTTATCGCTTTATTTTAAAACTTAGGCTTCAGATATAATGATATAATCAAAACGTACATAAACGAATTGTTAATTTATGTAATTTACAAAGAATTTGTTTCTATTTCCGAAATATTTTTCAGTTTTAAGACGCAAAAATGTTGGTTAACTTTTATCTCATTGTTAAAAAATTGTTGGTGCCTGTAATTTAGTTTTTAAGCACTGTGCTGTGAGCAATGTTACTTTGAATGTCCAAATGACAGTACTGATTTTACAAGCCGGAGCATGGCCATTATCGGCGCCCAGTTCAATTCCAACTTCCGGTTAGTTAAATTTCAATAATTACATGTCATTTTATGAGTTTTAAGTGTCAAGATATGAAAAATTTGTTTTATTTTAGTAAAAGCATACATAATCCTAAAGTTTATTTTGAATACCACGAGCCTTCTTCAAACTCTTATATGAAAAGTACACATTTTTTTCTAGAGTCTTCTATAGTTTATTTAATGAAAGTGGGTTCGCTTGATAGCATGATTGTCTTTTTTTAAGGAACAGATGGGAAAGACAGTACAACTGCTGTTCAAGTTACGGGTTTTATTGTCCCTCCAGTTCTTTTACCATCCATTGAACATTTCGAAAAGTATTATCAGGCATCACACAATGGTCGAAAATTGACATGGCTCTTCAATCTTGCAAGTGGTTAGCTCTTGAAACACCGTAGTTTTTTCCAGCTTAGATCACTTCAATTTTTGAATAAGAGAACATGAAATTTCTGAGGAGAAATTCGAACTTTATGAGTTTTTAAAGAATATCGCACTGAAATTAATTTTCTGCAGCTTTGTTATTTGGGATTTCGAATTTTTGACTCTTGATCAAAAGGTTTATTCTGTAAATATTTTTGTTTTTATTTTTTTTATGCTTCAATATGATTATTTAATTTTTGTTTTATTGGTATTGGATTTTTGTTTTTTTTTTTCGAATCTGTCCTGTTTGTTTATAGCTTTGTTATTTTCAAGAAAGAAGACATTCAGCTGCACCGAAAGTTATATGCTTGACAATATATGATACGTAGTAGAAATGCGAATGCGGTGATTCCCAAATTTATTGGGGATTATTTGATACTATATTATCTGCCATAGCTTGCTTTTTGTTTCAGTGGCATCCCATCCCTACCTCGATACATCTTCAAACAGCTTCAAAGAAACATACGTCTAAAAAGTCAACTCTATACTTATATTTTATTGAGCACCAGACGATTCTAAAATTTCTGAGTTGGTAGTCCACTCAGAGGAAGTTAATTAAAAAACCGCGCCGATATCTTATAAATTTTGACTGCAATTCATCCATTGTTTTTTTCTTTCATTTTCTTAATTTTTGTTATATATGTGTCGGATAGTGAAATTTAGATATTTGGTGATATTTCATACGGCATTATAATAGAACTGATGATAAGAACTTTTGATTTTCAGTTGAGGTGAAGTTGCTTTATTTGGACAAAGTGTATCAGGTGACGATGTCGGCCCATCAACTAGCAATTTTGCTGTGTTTTGAGACAAGGGATTCAGTAACTTTAAGCTATATCGAAAAAGCGACTGGTTTGTCGGATGAACTGCTTAGCCGCAATGCTCGCGCGTTGGTTGATTCCGGTATTCTGATTATGACGAAGGTCTTTCTTTTTTTTTGCTCGTGAGAATTTTGACTAATTTTTTAGAAACTTTCCAAGTTTATTCAGGCTTTCTAAATTTAAGGATAAAATTCACGACTTTAATATCTGAGCTGAGGCTTAGGATTGAAACTCATTGTTGCGAATTACTGTAATCCTGACCGGTACATAAAGTACTTGCGGTATATGTGTCCGCCTAAAGGATGTTTTTAAGTTTATTGTTGAGTCCTGAAATGAAACAGAATTAGATTACTAATGCGACTTTTCAAAAAAGATGTTTTGTTCAAGAAAATAAGTTCTTCATTTTTCAATATATTTTGTAGGCGGCGATGAATGAGGTTAGTGATGTGGCACTCAACTTGACACTGACATCGAAGCGTCTTCGGTTCAAAGTTTTGGTGCCTCAATTACAGCGACATGTAAGTAAAGCTTTTTAAACTAAATACATGTTGGATGCAATATACTTTTTTAGAAATAATTTCGTGGCGTGAGTTCTCTGCACATTCTGTTGATTTCACTCGTAAGTTAGGCTGTCTTTAATATTTTAAATGTAATTATGGCTGGGATCTTGTTTCTTCTCAATTTTATTTAAAAAAAAGAGAAAAAAATGCAATTCACAGTCTCCAGTTCTCGATATGGAGTGCATTAAGAGGCATGGAGTATTTTTGTTTATGATATTAGAGGGAAGAGTGGACTGGGAAACAAAATGACAAAATAAATAATGAGATAAATAATAAATGAATAATGAGATTATTCGATGTCCTTGTCACACTGAGATGAACTCTGAGTTGAAAAGACATGAAGGAGAAGACATTAAAAGAAGCGATTGGGACTGTGTTTAAATTGTTGACATTATATTTTGATTTTTTTTTCCAAGTTTGAAGCATGAAAGTATCAAAAGTCTCGATGTCTTCCCGTGTAACTTGAGAGTATAGTGAAATGTCAGTGAAGCAAACTATTTAAGAAACCTATTTGCAAGAAATTGAAGAAAATTTGTATTTCCGGAAAAGGGTCTTTATGAGATGGTCATATCTTTCGTTGAATTAAAAGAATATTAAGAAATAAATCTTGACTGCCTTTAACTTACTTTTTCTGAAAACTCTCTCTGTGCCAACTTGAAGGGCTAGGTCCAAATTATTTGGTTTTCATTAGGCCATGTGTGTCCTTGCAGGTTTGATATCAAAACGAGAAATTTCGGAATTCGAACTGTCTTAAAGCTGTCGGACTTACCTTCACCAAGAAATAGGAGACATTGCTGTCTCTGCGATAGATATGGCAATCCATGAAAAAGCCATCACCTAGGGATCGTTTTTTTCTTCAGTCTGTTTGCATAAACAGTGTAAAGTGTTTATTATTAATGTATTTTAAGGCGGAAAAAGAGGCAGAACATGTAAATATCACCGCTCAACAGGATCGAAAATATTATATGGAATGTACTATTGTTCGCATAATGAAAACACGAAAGGTGTTGAAACACGCAGCCTTAGTTAATGAGGTAAGTTTATATAGTTATGTCACTTCATTTCATGGTATTCCTAATAGTGTAAAATAAAAATAGCGCCCGGATGCTTGGCATAGCAGAACTATGTACGCAAGGTGCCAGTGGCAGTGCCAATTCGTTTATTTCATTAGGAGACGAGTGTTAAAATTCATTGCCTAATGTAAGTTGTTTAAACCATTTCGTGTTCATTAAATTTATTTTTTTAATAGGTAATTGAACAAACGAAATCTCGTTTCACGCCAGATGTTAACTTCATCAAGAAAAATATCGAGTCGCTCATTGAAAAATTGTACATTCAGAGGACTGATCAGAACGATGAATATCAATACCTGGCATAGAAATGATTGGTGAGCCTCATGTACAAATTATGAATTGATTTTGAGATAAAGTGCTTTGCCGAGCTGTCCATTTGCTTATCTTTCCTCTATTGGTTTTATTTCATTTTTCATCCATTTCAAGTTGAGAAAGAAGGTTTGTGGGAAGTTGGTCACGAAATTACTGTCAGTACTGAGGGGACTAGAAATTACTCCAACGCTGCTTAGATGGGATAAGCTGGACTAATAAAGTAGCGTAGGAGTTTCTCTTATGTATTAGGATATGTCGAATTTATGGTTGTCTTGCATTGGTGGGATCATGGAGGAAACAAAAAACCGAGTGTTTCGGTACTGATTTCGTTTTCATTTGAAGTAAGTTTGTGAAGCTCTTCTAGATTCGTCACGGGAGAGTTGAGTGGTGGACCACCTTCCCTTTTTGTTTTAGTTTACAATGTAGTTTCGAGTCTTTGTTTTCAATCCCGTAAAAATTTTATACGATCGTTTTACATGTAAACGAAACTAGGTAATACAATTGTAGTGGTATATCAAAATATTGATGACACATCATGGTAAAAATAACAAGTGGTAAATTGAAGCAGCTAGAATAATCACAAGCTTAATAACTTTAGTTTTCATGAACAGTTCTAAAAAAGAATTGTGAAGAAAGTAACTTGATAAGCCCTGTGAGCTGAGTTCTATCATTCGATTTTGGCGATTTTCACGGACAATTAACGGGGACAGTCCCGTTTTGTATCTCTTAACCTTAAGGTAACCTCTTTAACTCAAACAACTTGAAAAATCATTTAAATGTATTATAGTGCAACTTCTGAGTAATATTTTTAAAGAAATGCTTTATAAATAGAAATACAAAGTGATTTTTTTGACCTTAGAGTAGAATATGTATCCATTTCGGAAACATATTCTACACATTTTAAAAAATATGACCTCGTGCTATGTCTTCCAAAATCTTTATGCGGGACAAACAGCCAATATGTCTGTCAGCTGATAATTAAGTACTACGAGTGAGATTGCAGGAAGGTAATCGTAAGGTCTGCTTTTAGCAGTAATATAATGAGTTCAATAACCATTATAAAGTAAAAAACCTTTAGAAAACTGCTTAGACCAACGATACAAGTTACATCTCTTTTACGACCGGCAAGACCAAAGTGTTAAATTTCGAAGTGAAATATTCATGGCATTAAGCCACGAATACATTTCATCTTTCCTATCCGCTGCCATTAAAATTCTGAAAGAAGAATACCTAAAAATATAACTCCAGAAAATTTACCAACCTCCCCTTTTTGACCAACACTGAATTAATTCGATAAATTTTCATCGGAAAATGCTTGCTAGGTAGGTAAATATATTTGCATTTTTGTAACAGTAGATGATAACTCGCTTGTCTTAGAAAAAGGATGGATGCAGAATTTATTACGAGAATTTAACCTGCTCAAATGCCTTCCGCAATATCAACTATTTCCAGTGTAATACTCTATAATCTTCAATACTGCTCAGCTGAAGAAGCTTATGGAGGAAATATTAAGGTGTATTTAGATGAGGTTATAAAATCTAAACAATGAAATAAGAAACGAAGTTTCTTCCATGGTCAACCTTATTCTATCCGGCTTTTGCGGACATTTGCCGGGTAGCCAAACATCGATTTGCATTGAGTTCGGATATGGGCAACGTTCCACTGGAATAGGTTTAATTTCGTTGCATGCGCATGTCCTTAAGTCAATACTCACCACTGGTATCTGTAATAACGAGCTAATTATCAGTACACTTATCTATTTAAAAATAGTTCCGAATCGGGAATTATTAACGGCCAACGACAGCAATCAAGATAAAAAAGAAATTCTTAAAACTCATTCCATAATTTGCAAACGCGTGTTAAAAAAGAAATTCTTAAAACTCATTCCATAATTTGCAAACGCGTGTTCAGGGATGCTGAGATTTTTGAATTCAAAGAAATGCACAGCGAACTTAGCGTTAGAGCCATTCCTAGAGAGAAGTAATCTATGTTATAATATTTGACTAAAATTAGAATTCTGACTTTCATGCTTTCATCCTCGGGATACCGCCAAAATCGGAGTTGCCCATCCCAGAGCACACACCAGAACCGAGCCCATGAACCAATGTTTTCAATTGGCTGATATAAACTCTAGAATGAACATATTCTATAGTTTAATCTTGAAAAATTGATACTGCACAAGATTTAGTGGGGTCAGAAAAGGTAACATATTATAACACTGTAAATTACAAAATCATATAAAATTGTAAATTATTATGACGGTCAAAATTATTGAAATTTTGAAAATTACAAATCAAAGAAATTGATCATTAAAAAAAAGCTGAAATGTAGAAGTGGGAAGAAGTGGTTGAGAGGACAAAAGGTATTTTGTATTTTTCAAAATCCTTAAAAATGTTTTCGAGATGTTTAATGCCGGATGCTGATTTGGCGGGAATATACCTTTTATAAATGAGAGCGAATTACAAATCCCAGATCACTTCTGCGAGCTACGTTTGTCCAATAAAAATTTATTTGGAAATTGGAAATTTTTCAAGCAAGAACTAAATTCTAGATCAAAAAATTGCTCACCAAAAAACCTTTATAGCCAACGGTACCACAATCTTCTGCATAACAACGAACTTTCATTTCGACGACTCCATCAAGTGGATAAAGCGTATCAGAGAGGTGGAATCTAGTTTTGTTCACACTGCTTATGTTAAGTGATAAATGTCCAACACGCTGGAATGATGGGTCTATTACGGCTGACGGTCCACCAAGTGAAACTAGTCCTGGAAATAGAGACAAAAAAACAATGTTTTATTTTTATGGTAGCAAGTAAACTACTGTGTTAACCACTACGCTATAGGGCAGTGAGAAATGGCATTTAAAAAAAATCAAATTTAGGGTTTTTCAGGAACGCAAATCTGTTGTTAGAGACTCTTAAAAAGTAGGCCCTGCTTAAGTCTCTAATGATTATTTACTTCATGAGATAGTTTATTATCAAAACACAGCATAAATATTCTAGACATATTTAGCTGAGAATTTGGACTTCTATTTGACTTTGCAAGCTACGATTAATCACCTGGTGAAAGCATCGACTTCTGGGATTTCTTTAATGAGTTGCCACCTTTAATGTGGTATTTAGTTTCATGACGGAGCAATTCTCGTCGTGTTCTCTAAAAAAATTATAGGAATGGAATATGATTCCACATACACGAAATTTTGTAGACCAACGAATACTTTGCCTCCTTATTATAAGCAAATGTGTTATACTATCTCTGCCACAGCACTTAATCTGAAGCCTAACTTATCTTGAAGTGAAGCACATACTATGAGTTCAGAACTCGCGTCGCGTTATTTTCTGTTTTATTACAAGTTTGCTGATGTGGCTGGAACAGGAAGAAATCGAGATTTTCGTTTTTTTTTCTTTTTTTTTTTTCGATACACAAGAGCTTTACTGTAATGAAGTATGAAGTAACGAACCTAAAAGTAGACAAATCCAATGTCAATGTTAAACTAGAAAAACAGCGAATAGCGAGGAGTTCCGAAAAAGTATGGAATATCCTAAAACAACTCACAAGGGCGAAAATTTCCAATGTACAGCTAAAATCGTGAGGAAGTGATCGAAACTGAATATAATGAGGAAACTCAAGTCTGCCTGAACAAATGCCTTCATCGCTAGTAGTTAAAGTTGTGTGGTGAACTGTTTCCTCGTGTCGTATCAGTGCAATGAAGTAAAATAACAGCTGATCTGAAAAACTTGCTAAAAACCGAATATTTATTCTTTCCAAAAGTCAGCTGTTAGTTTAATTCCATCCATTTACAACTTTTAAAACATTATATTCGTCGTATTCTGCTTGCATAAAAAATATGCAGTTTTACATTCATTCTGATAACGAAAACCTTACTTCAGTTTAAAGCCAACTTCCAGAACTTAGAATTTAATAATTCATTTCCTTACCATCGTGATAATTGATATGTCCATTGACAAAATCACGCATAAGCCTCACAGAAATATCCGAAAATGTTAAATTTCCTTTTGGTCCATCTGAAATGGAATGTTGAACACCACCGGTCGCATGCTTCTGTATTAGTCGATCAAGCACAAAAATTAAAGCACGTCTACGTTCCGTTGCTATGAGAAGTGCTCGCTGTGCATCAACCTGGAAAGGAATATGGATTAATGCCGAATGCCAGTCAGTTGTGTAAATCATTTGATGAGATTTATTTCTAACAAACTGGTAGATTGCTTCATTATTCCCTTTCCATTTACATTATACTTAACAGGAAGATCTTTTCAGTCTATCTCATAACAAAACAATTCCAAAAAGTTTATTCAATTGGATTTAATTCTTAACCATATAAAAACTAAAATATTCTAAATGTTTTTTGAACCTCTTCACGACTTCCTCTGAATTCTTGCGTAGTGTGGCAAAATGATAACGCCCGTGATGCTTGAACAATTTGTTCTTGCTGCACACTGATTGCTTTTTCTAAACGAGCTCGTTCGATTTCGAAATTCGCTCGGTCATTCATATTTGCCTTTGATACAGCGCGATTGAGAGCAGCAGTACTATTGAGTGGTGACGCAGTAAACTGCCTAACGAAAAAAAGTTAAAATATTTTACTTCTAAATCTAAATCTCACCAATAACAAATTTACAATAATTATGTGGGCGCAGTCACTTCTCACTTCGGCATGTGTGGCACACATAAATGAACACTCCTAGCACGATCTTTCCAGCATGACATAACAAAAGATTACAACAATTAAAAGATATTGAACAATTTAAATTGAAGGTCTAATAATTATAAAACAAAATATTCAAACGGTTGTGTACACTATCTAACATATAATATTGAAATTCTTCCGATTTTATTGCTTAAATAATATCTTATTTCAAAACGTCTGCAATTCTTATTACTTTATATTTTTTATTTACATTTTCATCACATTCATTTCGTATATTTACAATACTAAAACTGCGTTAATTAACAGATAATAGCTACTTCCTAGTTGGACAAAAAGATGTCAACAAGTCTCGTTGTTTATCAACCTAAGTTCTTTTTTACTTGCTCATTTCGAGCTCTACAAAGTAGAATAAGCAAAAACAAAATTACTTTTACTTAATACTTTATGCATAATTTCTCATATAAAATAGTTAGGATCTAAAATTTAAATGTCATGCAAAGGTTTGGAAAAAACATGAAAAAATTCCTAAAATTACCCAAGCATTACTGTCTCACTCCCCGATCGGTTTTCTTTCTCTTTTCTTCGATAAAAGGAAACTGAATGTGCCAGAGGAGCTATTGCTGAAACAAACCATCTTCGTTACGATGTAGGATTCACAAAATCATCAGAATCAGATATTTACTCCTTTAATTTTCTTTCATACAATTTATTTACGCTTAATACATAAAGCATACAAAATTTTTTGAAATGCTAAAAAGATACCCTCAACATTGTCACGACCTGTCGATGCCACAGTTGGAGAAGATAAAGTAGTTCGAATTTCGGGTGTACTGAGAATGGCTGACATAAGAGAAGAATTTCTATCTGGTGTCTGTAGAAGATTCAGCTTGCATAACTTACAATTTAAAGTTAATAGGTACTTACGTAAAACATATCGTCATCCGATTCTGAATGCATTACTGCTCACAACTTTGAAGACTTCAATGCTGCTCTGGCACCTACACATAATCTTTCATGGTATTTTTGGAAGGCAAACCAGTTATTTTTTTAGAGCAATATCTTACTCGATGAATGAACTGGAAAGCATCATCAATAAGTTGATTAGGTTCATTGTTACTTTTGCCGGAAATTTTGGCATTGTTTATTTCTTCCTGAACAACTTCCTGTTCCTTGTTAACTGCGAAACCTTGAAGCATAGTTTCGGTGGGTTGCTGAAACGAAAAGCAGAGTGTACAACTGTGCATCTCAAGATAGAAGAAGAATGCTTTTCCTATACGGGAATTCAGCAATCAGAAGTTATCGCCACTTCTCATCAGTGCAAATAGCAACGACCATATCTTACATTCGCAAAAGATAAAACACCTTAGTTTCAAAGTTCTTCTCTTTTTCTAAGTTTTGGAAACAGACAACGGTAATTACTTTCTTAAGCTTGCTAGCTGCCGTTTATAGCGTTTAATTTCCAGTAACCTAACTAAAACCACACAAATGGAGAGAAACAATTGGTTAATTTACTAACAGTGCAAAAAGTGGAGTAGGCTGCCGATATCGGTCGGAAATCGGAGATCTGAACTGAACCTGAAAAACAAAGCAAATTAGATTCCCAGTCTCTAGGTTCTGTACTTCGACATATCTCCTTATCCATTTGAATTAGTTGTTCGACTCACTGTTGGCAATCTCGAGGACAAAAAAATTTACCTTCTGGTTCACAGTATGACTGTGGTCGCATCCTCTCTTGCTTCAATGATTTTGCCATCTGGATAGCTGCCTGTAAAAGTTCATCTTCCTCCTGATCTGGATGAAGAGGAGTACCGGTAGCAGAAGAAACCTGTACGAACTAAATTGTTATCAACTAAATAGATGATAAGTACATAAAAAATTTGGTTTTGAAATAATGTAAATTTTTTTAAATGTTTGCTAGGCCATCAGCAAAATTATCCCACCTGCTCACTTCACAGTCGTGCCTATGAGATAAAAAATATATCAAAGGGCATGACTAGCATGCTTTAAGAAATATTATAAACAGATGCAGTCGTCAAAATAAAATGATACGACTAACACCTACTTCCCATCTGTCGCGTAAACTTTTCACGTCTGCTGAACGAGTGTCAATTTTAGCACAATCAGATCCCTTTTTCTGAAAAATAATAAATACGAAAAGGCAAAACAGAAGAGTCAGTGAAATAATTAAAACAACAATCAATCGGAAATGGAACTGACCAACTGTGAATGATCATTTTCGAATTTCGAAAGTGCGGCACCGATTTTAGAACCAATCTTCACTTTCAACCTTTCCTCACGGATTTTTCATCGATTCTATAAGGAGTTCATCTACTACAGCGTGAAGTTTCTCTAAAGGAAATTTGGTCCTTTGCCAAGCGATTCATCCCAATACTGAGAAATTTAGAAATTCGACCAAGTATCAATCTCAAAACCCATCAAGGAAGCTTAAGAATGAGCAATGCGAATTAGTTGTTCTACTCGATATAAAAGCAGTCATCAAACTTCGATTTCTTCAGCAACTGAAAGTATTCTATCATACTTTTTTCTTAAAAAAAAGTACCCAGCCAAAACAACAATTTTAAACATTCCTTTCTACATTCTTTGTTGAAAAAAATTCTCTTGAATCTTACTGTTTCGCCATTCGTTTTGTGTGAGTTAACTTATCTTCATCAATTGAAACTGTCGCAATGGCGCTATTTGCAACTGTTGCGATTTCACCAACAATATCATTGCGGTTATTTACGGAAAAAATTCCTAGAAATGCTAGGAGTGTACGCATACTTTTTGTAATTCAAAGAATGTAATGGTTTTCCTCTCATACATTCACGAATCGATAGTTTCCTATAAAATTTTTCGACTATTTTATTTCTACATCTTTTGAAAATTTTGAATTTTAATAAGTGTCATGACTAAAAGATTTTTAGAAATAAGAACGAAATTACCTTTACTTAACTTTGATTTGCTATGATTTTGTTCATTACAACTGTTACCATTCTGCAAAAGTAATAATCCAATTTTTCAAAACAAAACAATAAATGTATGAAATTATAGAATAAGGTGCAAAATCTAAATTTGAACAACTTTTCACCGAGGTAGAAAAAAGGACAAATAAGACTGAAAGCATACGACTCTTGGAGATTTCGGTAGTTCTTCTGGCGTTTTGCGCTGCAATCGAGGGACATTATTATTAAATTAAAAACGAGGGACATCATTAAACTTTTTGCTTTATTAGCTTTTCTGAAGCCTATCTGAATACTGTTATTCTGAAATACTTTTTTAAAGCAAGAAAACTCTAGATTTACCTTAAAAATTTGTGAATTCCATATTCCTCAGTCTCGGAACAGATGTTACCAATAGATTCTGACGGTTTTTCGGCCACATCTTTTTTTGATTGTGCTTTAGCAGGATAAATGTTGGTCAAAGAATCCTAAAAAAGTAATGAAATTCAGATCACACTTTACGAGGACGAAGTGGTAGGATCTAAATTCTTTCTCGCCATTCCTTTATTTAATACTTCTCCAAGAGAAGTTACAGTCTTGAATATGCTGTAGAGATAAATAGAAATATACAATTGAGAGGATAGAAATTTTCCTTCTAGTAGCGGATGCTTTTCATCATAATTTTCATTCACAAATAATGTAATTGGCAATGAAAATCAAAATTAAGTTTATCAGTTTGATTAGCCATCGCATTCCTAAATAAAAAAATAGTAACCAAATAAAAACTCACGCAATTTTCGAGTAAAGGATCAGTCTCGGTTAATTCAGACGCAGGCATCGCAAATCGCAAACGTTTTTCGCTTGTACTGCACAGTAAGTTGCTCGATTTTAGCGAATCTGATTTGTAAAAAATTGCCGTTGTCACAGTCTTTTCCTGCTCATTCGTTTTGTCAAACGATTCATCGGCGTATGTTATTGTCGCATCATCAAGGGTGCACACTGGTTCTCTTTCGTCAATTCGAGGCAAGGAACTTGTGGAAAGCCTGCTGACCGAAGCTGGTGGATAATAGTTGGTAGCGGGTGTAAACAATACTGTTGGAGACATCTAAAAATATCATAAAAACATAAACATTTATTCCTGATTAAGACGTGAAATGTATTACCCTGACCATCATTGATATACTAATATTAACGGAAAGCAAGATATTCTTTCAGCCACACAATACTATAAAAGTTGTAGAAGTTGCTATATGGATACTTAGGAGGCAAAGGAAAAGAGAAACGCTCTAAATCCACTTCTTCCATGCCAATTTCACACATCCACAATGAATCAAACAAAAATCTCGAAAACTCAAAATACTAAAAAGTTGGAATGTTAAAAAGTTAAATTACGTCGCCACTACTCAGACGCGGTGATGGCCCTTTGAGGAACGATTCCTTGGAGCGTATAGGTTTCATATCGTATTCGAAATTTTCGACATCAGCAGCAAGAGCTGCAAATCGAGCACGCAGTTTATCATTACATGATTTATCTGCGATACTGTCATCATGTGGTAAATCGGAACTTTGCTGAAACAGCGTGTACATTTAAATGGGATTACACCAACACTGGAAAGCGAGATGTGAACTACCAGATAGTTTCGCATATTCCCTTAATTTAGGCTTGAATTTCTCTCGCCTTTTCACTCTCATGTTAAAACCCCATTACCTTCAACATTATTAAATTACGTTATATACAACAAACATTTCGGGAATTATCCAACGAAATTCTTTTCATTAGCTCGAGTTCTTCTGTAGGATAAATTGAGTGAATACTCTGCTCCCTGTTTCTGTTCAGTAATGGACGTGATATTATCGACTCCGTAACGCTTTGTGTCAGTGATTTTTCTGAAAACTATTTCCTAAGCAGCGTAAAGTTTCATGGAAATTACACCGAATCAGAAATAAAATTGTGCATGGTGGGATGGCTAATTCAATGTTGAAGAAATGATCGCAAAATAACTTTTTTATTTAAACGGAATTTTATCGAACAGGATAAATCACACCTAGTTTGCAATCTAACAATGCGTTTTCCTTATCAATGAGTAATTCTCGCTCTTTTGTACGCTGCATAATTCTCTGAAATTTGCATAAATAAAGGCGGGGTGGCTAATTTATTGAAGTTCAATTAAATGAATATTCGCTCAACAGTCATAAAATGAAAATGAAGTGCAGAAGCAGCGAACAGTAAAATTTTCCGTTTCCAAGACATTATTTTAGCGTATCTACAACTTCCATACGAGCTCACTTGTTTCAGCAAAAAAATTGGTTCGAATACTTACCTCATTCAACCACAAAAGTGATTGATTTTATTACGATGCAGCCAAATCCTAAGCAAAACATTTAAAATGAACTGTTCTGTGAAAAATAAATGGCAGGAATTGGCAGGAACCACTCAAAATGAAAATGGAATCAAATAATCTCTCAGATAGTGCCATCCGGAAAGAAAAACTTACAGCTAAATCCACGTCTTCTGCTTCCATACTTTACTGGCGATCGATTAATATTCACTATTAAGTATCTTTTATGGCCTGCAGATTTGAAAGTAAATGATGAAAAGGTTTTATGACTGAGGCATCGAGTGAAGAAAAGTTACTACCAAGGAATTTTTCTCATATAGTAGCAAGTAATGATTCATATGGCAATATGATCTTCGATGAGGCTGAGAATCTGATAACGATCGGAAAGACGGAATTCCTTAAATCTAATGTTTCAAAGAATTGTGGATAGCGAAACTACCTTAACCACATACCTATTTTTCATTATCCATAGGTACCGTTAGAGAATAACAGCGGTGGGATTTTGACTTCTACCATTTAAGAATGATAATAGTGGAATTTGACTATTTTGTAGTGAATAAATCTAGGCAAAATTTTCTTTGGTGAATCATACTTAGGATATAAATTCTAAGTTTCCCTACGTTTTACTAAGACAATGTATAGTTTTGTGCACTATGACATATCACGTCTAATTAATCATATTATCTATAACAATTACTATTGTTCACATCTAGTCGGAGTCTCTTACCTGTCATATGCCTTCAAAATGAGATATGAATATAGAGAGTTATTTAGGGGCCAGAATGCAAATACTTCAAATGAAATGTTTCGTATTTTAAACAATCAAAATGAAACATCAGTGTTTGCAAAGAGGAAGTTAGTCAAGCAAGTTTATATCTATTAATTTCCACATTATGCCTCGCTTTTATCACTGTTTAACTTTTATCCAAGAGTGATGCTGAGATTATTATTCCATGTCAACTACAACAAATTTTGCCAAGGACCAATAACAGCCATTAGGCCATAAGAATGCGGTAGGAAGAGACAGAATATTTCTCACTTAAGGAGACCAAACGGGCAATCCGAAAAACAAGGCAGGCCTGCAAGAAGCTCACTGATTCCGAAGTGTCACTGTGTGCAGCAGGAGGCTTTTAGTTTTACATAAAGAAAATACGAAATTTAACAAATCACACTTTTAAAAAACTCCAGAAATACAATTAGACATTTTACAAACTTCAAAAGTACAATTAACGAAGGAAGCCGGCGGCCCAAAAACAACAAGCACCATCCTCATAATATGCATCCTTCATCGATTGGTACAACAGTTCCACCATGTCCCGCCCATTTCAAATTCGAAATATATCGCTCTTTGAGCTCGGTATGCAATGCTTCCAGCCCATGATTACATGATTGCATACTGGAGGGAGCAAATTGATAGTACGAGTTGGAGGCCAATGAATGTTGATGAATTAGTTTATATGAGTTGACCCAACCCTGCTATCATAGCTCTTTTCATAACCCAGCCTTCCTATCTTCCATCATTTTCAGTTGTTCGGAGTGAAGAAGGTGAGAGAGCTGGAAAGAGGAATATCATTATAGCTTATTCGTTTAGATTAACTTGAATTTCCACTCGATCGTTTTCTTTAGACTCCTGTAAATATCGAGCACTTTTGCAACTTCATGTCACAACTTTATACTACAATTTCGTTGAGTACCATTGAGAAGAGAAATGACGGACCGCATGAAATTCAGCTTCGTTAGTGGCAGTGTCGAGCCAGCAGTACTTATTATCCTGCGTTCATTTCGTGGTGCAAGAGTTGGGTTTTCAATAAGCGGTTGTCGTCATTAAGGTGAATAAGTCTCAGTCTTTCCATATGAGATTATAGAGTATAAGAACTCTTTAATGAGTATTAAAGGATTGGATAGGACTCATTTTGGGGATATTTTTTGGACAAAGTCACGCGAGGTTCATTCTCCTGAATGCGGTGATTGCAGTCGATCATCTATCATTTACTGTAATGTAGTGAAATATGGTGGTCAAGTAAGACAGTCGGAGAAATTCCTACCTAATTTCACGTGATTTCACTGATTTTAATAAAAAATGCGTGATAGGTGGCGTTATTCTCATTTGAACATCGAATAATTCAGTAATGCAAAGCGGAAGTGGAAACGGTGCAAGTTCTGATTTGTTCAGTGGTTATGAGCAGCATCCGCCACCTCCAGGTTCACGTCTGGCGCAGTATTTGCATGGAAACAGCACCCAGCAAGCACCTCGACCTTCTAATTGGGCTAACCGTAAGATTTTCTTCAAAATTTCGAATTTACAGATACTTAGCGAAGTACCAAGAAAAGGCTCGTCAAATGCCATTGATTAAATGGATCTTGATGTACTAAGGGAAGGATCAGTGGGATGCCTCTTTCATCCAAACCAATTCAAGGAAAAATACCAAGTTGTAAGAGTAAACAAAGCAATTGCTGAATCAAAACAAAAACCAAAGCAACTCCCTTTTTGTCAAGTATTAAAGGAAAGCTATTCCGTGTAGCAGTACTTTTGTGATAGATCACCATAAATTTTTTGTAGGGATGCCACCAAATCAGGCGACCATGGCGGGTCCTTATACCTTCAGCAATCATCCTACTTCGCATTCTAGCAATGTTGGTTATGTCTTTAATCATTTCTTTTGATATCGTCCATTTTTCGCATGTAGCAGTATCACAAGTACGGTGTAGAATCACGAAATCTGTTTTGGAGAGTTTGGGAAAAATATTTCGTACAAATTGACATAGTGCTGAACGATTATTTTCTGAGTTATAAGTAAAAGTTTCTGAGTTGTAAGTATTTTATGACAATATTACCAAAGGAATGAATATAAATACATTCGTGGTTAAATTGCTAAGAAATAATGAAGGGTGTAATTTGTGGATCAAATCTTATCATGCAAAATCGTCATGATATTACTGAGTTTTTCTGATTACGAATATATTGATTTTATGAAGGTATGGTGATATCTTGCTTACTGAATTTATTTTCTAGAAGTAATTTTGCAGCTGCCGCACTTTACATCATCTTTTGCTGCAATGGGGTTGAGTGATGAAAAAGAAAATCCATCATTATCGTCTCTGTCTTACGGTTTTCCAACATCCTCGCAACGATCGCTTAACTACTGTAAGTGCTGCTGATGTCATTTGCTTTAGCCTCTGCTGAAGAACTTTCATTACAACTGATCATGATGCATGGCCTTTGTTCAGCAGTCTGCTATTTTGTGCGAAATAACTTATTCGGCTAGTCACTCATTTTGCCTATGTTCATAATATGACTGCATATCTACAATTGAAGTATTCGGAAATATATTGGAATATGTGGTGGACATTTATTTGTAACATTCATGATTATATTATTATCAGGCTGCATATCACTTCCTTTATTTAATGTTCATGTTGACTATTTCGACTATTTCTTATCCCTATGTATGTATATATATATATATATATTTTTCTTTTTTTGAGCTAATGTAACACAAGCTTTGACTGTCTCTCCGATAATGCACGATCCAATGAGACCAAGCAGTCACATAAGTCAAGAAAATTGTGGTTCAACTACTGCAAACTATATGGTTCGTTTCTTTCTGAAAGGAATTGCGACTGGTTGTTAAAAAAGAATGAAAAAGACATTAGAACTCTTATTACAACAATTTCATTTTCCAGCAAGAAAATTTCGGTGGGACAACCTATTTCTTCACACCAACTACAACAAATTCCACTATTGCTGATGGGCAGTCATCTGTTCCACAGAAAGACGATCGTGTATATGTGGTAAATTTATTTACTCAGTGCTAGATTATTCAGTCATGGTGATATAATTTAACAGATGTGTTCCAGATATATCCTTGTGGTAATAAGACTTAGTAAGATTTGTAACGAAATTTCATTAGGCCAAACTACAAGAAAAAAGGGAATGCAATATTTAACTATACAAAACAAAAATAAATTGTGAACGTCAAACATCTTTATTTTAATCCCTTATATTTTTCTGTCGTCATGTGATTTCGTTGCACTAAAGATGTGCTGCTTTTATAATAGCTGCCCATTCTTTTTCTACTTTGCTTTGTCTGGAATTCAAGAATTAAAGGAATTACCGTTGTTGTTTGGTATGTATATATAATTTCTCTTCTTATTCTAATGGTTTTTTCAGACAACAAATGGTAATTTTGTGTATCATGGTCCATTACCACATATTGGCAAGTATAAACCACCACGAGGACTTTCATATTTCACACCACCTGAACTAAAAATGGTACTAAATTTGTAGCAATATTGTATATATTTTCGTTCTCATTCAGTTCTATTTAAAGATGACTTGAATTGCTTTTTACTTTTTTTCTTGATGAATGAACATTCGGAATGGTTGAATAAAACATGGCAACCAATTATTGGCTTTTTCCAATTTTACTTATGTACCATATATCCTATGTTAATATATACGCATATCTTTGAAAATTTCAGGAGCTGTTGCAACGACAACTTGCTATACAGTGTCGCGCAGAACCATTACTTTATCCTGATATCCCACAAAATGTCGAGTATTTCCAGAATCTGGTTCCACTTGAAAATGTCAAATTTGTGGGTGGTCATATGGAACGGGGAATCATCGGGTCACACATCACAACAGTCTATAAAGCAATCAATGGACGCGACGGGATGCCTTATTGTTTAAGGCGAATTCATAGTAAGCATAATGATCTTATAAAAAAATTATGGTAGTGGGAGACCTTGTGTAATTCTTTAAGTTTTATAAAGCATTACACAAATTATTGGGCAGTTAAGTTTTCAAACATGTCGACCCTACTTAATAAATTAATTGAGAAATGAATATACCAATAGACGTTACGACAATCCAAGCAGCGGTTAACAGCAGATTTTCCAAGTTCGTGGAAGACAATAGTCTTAAAACGTTATACAGTTTTATTTGTGGGTATGACTGGTGCTTGAAAAGTTGAATCATCATTTTAAACTTATTTATAAATTGTTTTTTATTGGCCGTTCCTCTGAGTGCTATTTCTTCTTTTAGAGAGATAAAAAAGCATACCGTTCTTGAATTCATGCCACATAGAAATGCTCAGTTTAAGTTGTAACCGTTGTTCATTACTCGATAAATAACAGTGTTGGCATCATTGAAGATGGTTTTGTATTTTAAAACTTTGCTTTTCATGTTTCTCTTTTCTAATACCATTTATACTGCTTTCTGCAGATTTTCGAGTGAATGCAATGAAACAGCTATCATTAGCTGATAACTGGAAAAAATTAATGCATGTAAACGTTGTGCAACTAAGAGATGTTATACAGACTCGTCAGTTTGGCGATCACTGTAAGTTCTTTTTTTTCTGTGTTTATACGAAAGATAAGAAGTAATAAAATGTTTGCTTCCATCTCTCCTGGAACTTAACCAATCTAAGATAATTTTTTTCTCTAGAAGATATTCAAACACTGTTTACTACCACACTGCTGAAGTTTATCGATAAACTTGCAATGGATATTTCAAAACTTTATTATTTCTGCATGTTTTATCTGTAAATTTTGTTTGATATTATAAAGTAAGAGTGGAAAGGACTGTGTAGACGAAAAAAAAATACAAAAAAAAACAAAAAAACAATTTCAGCGCTGCTTTTTGCCTATGATTATCACCCGCTCTCGGAAACGTTGAAAAATCGGCATCTAAATCGACTCAATGGTATGTGGGCTGCTTCATATTTATAAAATACTTCATGTATTTGGGAGAGCACTTATGTTGTGGTTCATCTCAAATGTAGTATTAATAAAAAATGACAGCTTTTCTTTGAGTATTTGAGCTCTATCAAAAGAACTAAGATTTCCCAACTGTTTGCTAGATTAGGAAGGAAAGCCTTTAAAACAAAGGACCTTAAGTAAAACTGGTACAGTAGTTGATTGTTTATGAAATTATTGTTTAAGGTTTTAAAAGCTCAAGATTTACTAATAATTGGTTCCCATAACAAATTTGGTTTGATAAACAAAAATAGTTTACAATGGGATCGATTTGATGATTATCTGGCAGAAATTTTCTCTGATAAACTCAGTTAAAACGATAAACATACAGAGTATATCCATTACTTCAACACACTGGTGAATTCATGTCTTATACAGGTTCTTCAAAATTAGGACCAATTGCAAATCTCCCTGGAAGCGGTCCGGTGGTGCAAGAATCTTTGATGTGGTCCTATATTGTGCAACTTTCATCAGCCCTTAGAGCTATACACTCCGCTGGTATGGCTGCACGAACTGTTGACCCATCCAAAATCATTGTTTTCGATAAAACCAAGCAAGTATTTTCATGGGTTTTTAACTTCAAATATATTTCAGTAATTTCAGTAATTGTTGGTTAAGGATAAGATTTAACGCCATGCGTATTTGCATATTTTGTTTTACATTATAATGATATTCGATGGAGAAGCGGCAGTATTATCTTGAATTTAGAACAGTATGTTTGAGAATAAAAAGTATATGAGATCATAAAGGAATTCTTATGATAAAGCTATGAATTGCATATTTTATTAGGTTGCTGTTGATTCATTTCCCTTGTGGTATTTAAAATTTTAAAAATAAGAAAATCTTAACATAATAAATGTTTCAAAGTCCTGCATCTAAAAATTAATAGCTATAAATTACTATAATTGGCAAACAAAGATAACAAATGTGAAGCTGAAATATTACTAAAATGTAGCAGTTCTTTTTCGAATTTATAATTTGTTCATCAGTCAACTTCACTGCATTGTTTTCAGAGTGATGTTGAGCAGCTGCGGCATTCTAGATGTCATCAATCCTGGGAGTGACCATACAATACAATTATACCAGGTGGGCTGGTTTAACGACTATTGATGATTCAAAGCTACTAATGACTGTAACTGTAATTGTGGAAGAAATATTCATTATCGATTGATCTTTTTGATCAATTTTTTAGAATGATGGAAGTAAGCAGTGATAGAAGTGACTGATGGGAACTGTTTTTTTCAGCAAGATGATCTGAATGGTCTTGGTCGTGTGCTGATTGCATTAGCAATGGGTTCTCTGCATGCTACACGTCGTGAAAATATCAGCAATAGCATGAGTATTATCAATCAGCAGTGTACCACCGACTTAAAGAATATTATTACGTATGCTACTATGCTGGACATCGACGTTTTCTCTTATTCTTCCATTCTGTTTAATTGAAGTAATTTGAAACTGAAAAGAACCTGTAGACATTTCATGGATTTTTAAGGCTTGATTATCGATAATGTAGTCGCCTTATAAATAAACTACCATGTCTGAGCCGTTGCAACCGTGCTTTCAGACTTTTGTTGCAAGCTTCAACTCAGCGCCCACATTCTATCAATGAAGTGATGCCAATGATTGGTGCTCGTTTCTATGCACAGCTTGAAACAACTCAAATGAAGAATGACCTTCTGGAAAACGAATTATCGAAAGAATTGGAAAATGGACGTTTGTTTCGACTGTTATGCAAATTAAATACTATAACTGAACGAGCAGAGTAAGTTTTTTCTGTCCTGAAGGATTTTTCCTAATTTCTTGAGCAAAATATCCCGTCATTTCATGAGTCTCAATTTGAAGCTTTTGTTTTAAGCAATTGACAAATCTTAAAGTCTAGATTGAAACGATAAAGTAATAGGAAATCTTCCGTATATTTATGCTACGGCGTTACTCGGAGCGATAGATATCGAAATCTTGTCAAATTAATTAACAAGAATTCTTTATTCACAACTGGTGTTTCTAAAAAATTTGAATTCAGGTTTCAAATGGATATGTCATGGAGCGAAACGGGTGACCGGTATTTGTTGAAGCTATTCCGAGATTATTTGTTTCATCAAATAACTGAAACTGGTAAACCGTGGATCGATATGGCACATATTGTCACTTCCCTGAATAAGGTTATTCCCAAATTTCAGGTTGATTAGATATTGGTTTTAGTGGTGATAGGAGTACTGGTGGAATTCAGAGATTTTATAATTCAACAATTTTACTGAGCTAATGATTCACTTCCGTTTTTTGTATAGTATTCCTTTTCAGTTTTTTTTCTTTTCTATCATGTTATGCAGTGAATGTTTTTCACCGTCTTTTAATTATTGTCAGGTCTGTTATTTCGGGTCAGCATTTCAGGTCAGCTATTATTATTTGAGAAAAGGCGTATTCTTAATAAGACTTAATTATTACTCATTAACTTAGTTTGTTTTTTCCTGATTTTCTAGCTCTTTTTGAGGATTTGTCACTCGTTTTCGTCACTTGTTTAATTTTTGATATCTTGATTTCAGCTATTTTTAGTTATTCAAACTGGCAAGATTTCTGAAAACATTTTTTTTCAGCTAGACGCTGGTGTTAACGAGAAAATTCAGTTAGTTTCACGTGATGGTGAAAATGTGCTTGTGGTATCGTACACAGATTTACGACGATGTCTGGAAAATGCTTTCAGTGAGCTGCAAAATCGGCCACCATCAATACCGAATCCACTATTGCCAGTAGTTGGTCATCCCTAACTCTTGTTTAAAGAGCTTATTGTTATTTGTTATCATACTAACAGGTGAGTTGAAGTTTTACTATGAATTTAACATTTCTGCGCGGAATTTCTATAATTTTGATGGTCATATAATGTGGAAAGATATATCAGGATTGTTACTTCATTGGTACACTTTCTGGTATTATGAAAATTATGTCATAAGCTGAAAACACTCCTTTTTCTTTGCAAATTATTTTTATTCGCTCCTTGCACCACCATTTGCAAAGTGTATTCTTGTAGTTATTTCAATGGTACATTTATTCCTGTGGGTTTTTTTACTAAATAAAATTTGTGGACGTTTTTTCGGAAAATTTTGTTTTATTGTTGTTCTTACTTCATTTTACCGATTCAAATTGCTTTTTCATATGAAAATTATCCTTATATTTAATGAAACTTGCCACATTATTTATGGGTTTTGTATACTTTAATATTTTGTGTTTAAATTTATTTGATTTTTCAAGTTTTTTTACTTAACATATTTTACATGATCATGCGTAATATGTCTCATGTTGTCATCAGTGTTTGGTTACTTTGTTTTGTCACTTTCCACTATTCTTTTTAAAATTGTTTCCACTATTCTTTCAGAAAAAGTCATTGTGCGTCAATATTTGTATTTCTCGACTCTCTTGCGCCTCTCTATTTCTGCTCAGAAGTCGTTTTGCTGCATTTTAATTTGGTAAATTTGGTCGTTTCTTTGTTGCTTCTCTCTAAAACTTTGTTTTATCGACAGTGCAGTGCAGTGTTTCCTACTTAAGCTTTTTTTGCAGAACATTGCGATACATTTTACGGTAAATAGAAACATTTTACAATAAATAGGAATCTTACGACACTTTCCTTTCACTTTCTGTTCCTTTTAAGGTGATTGTTACAGCACTGAATTTTCTGAGGATAGAGGTAAACAAATGAAGGCGATATGTCAAAACCATATATACTTCCTACTATTCAGCTGCATTGAAATTCGAGCAGACTTTGTGAATAAATTGTTTGTGTTGCAATTTGGTTCTGAATTGAGTAGTCTAATTGTCTTCCCATTTATTTTTGTTGTCTTTTTTACTTTAGTGTTCCATCTTACTTTTTGTTCATTTTTTAGGTGTACGTATTTTTCAATTTACATCCTAATTAAAACTAAATATTTCGGATTTTACTTTTAAGTCTATAATACGGTTCTGCTGATAAGAAGAGGTTGGTTGAAGCAGTGGGTAATTGTATAAGTTTAATTGGAAATTTTGTTGCAGTATATGAATTATGAAATGGTTATCCTTTTTTTTTTTCTTTTTCTTTTTAGATCCTTTGAAGGTTTAGTTTCCTTACATTGATGAAAAGAACTCCATGTTTTTGGTTTCGTTTGGTTTTCTGGAACTTGTATTGTTAGATTTTTTATGATGGTAAGCTATTGATTCGGAAGACATTTGCATTGAATATTAAATGATATATTTCAAGGAGTAAAAAAATGTCTGAAGATAAAATGATTTATGCTTATTATTATGCCGAATGGTATGAGCGAAAAAAGTGATGATGGAGAGTTAAAAATTTTTTGTAAAAGATCTTTTTCTAGTTAATTGGTATTAAAATTTAGTCTTTACCACTCGTGTACTATAGCAATGGCGCAGTGCTCATTCATTCTGCTAATCAAATGCTATTTTTTTTTTTTTTTTTGCAAGGTGATACGTTTCATTGTGTTTGACTCAACATTCTGTTTGTTTTGGTTTAAATATTTCTTTTCTGTTTGTGGATGATGTTTTATATCGTTTTATTGTGCTTTATGTATTTGTATACAATGACTTTGAATATGACGTCTTTGGGTGTGTGTTAGCCATTAGTCATCCTCACACGAAGTTTTAGATTTATTGTTTAGATTTCCAAAATAAATAATGCCCTTTTTGCAGAGCATGGATTCTGGGATTTCGCTACTTTACAATTGTTTTTTCGTAATCGCTAATATTGGGATTTGTTTTCTTGTAAGCTTGTGGTACTTTGAGATATACCTAACTGCAAAAATAGAAATGTGGCTTCAAATTCTAAATGCTCCAGCGGGTGCTTTCTGGCGACTTTGGAATGTTTTGTAACATTTATCTGCATGTTATTTTCGCAAATGGTTTGTGGGTTTCTTACGAATTTAAGTTTCCAGAGATTTCAGAATTTCAAAAGATGTTGCAATTCCCAAAGAGTTTATCTGTAAACAGTAAATGCACAAGCTGTAGTTTTCAGAATCATCGTTTGGACAGTAGCTCATTTTATTTGATTATATGTTATTTAGCATTTTTGAAGGGTTTCTTCCGAGGATTGTTGTTTGGGCATAAAAGCAGAAGATCTTTAGTGTTCTCCGTAATCTTTGTTCAAATACGTACTAAGTGAAGCTGGGTGAGATCTGCGGACTGTCAGGGTGGAAAGGCCATAGAAAACACCTGTTTGCAGGGCATAGATTTCCGACAGACTATAAACATGGAAAGTATTTGTAATGCTCGTACACATATCTCCCTTGAAATTAAAAGAGTCTTATTTTTCTGTGATCCAGGGGGTCCTATATGCAATGCCAAGTTAGATATTTCCTTTTGTTCAGATATTTTTGTTCAGCTTTTCAAATTTGCAGTGCTGCCAGTTCTCGAAAAATACTGTTTACATAAACAGGTGCGACATGTATTTGTGTCAGTTAGCCCCCTTTGCGCCACTTTTTCGGTTTCCTTTGTGAGCATGTCGTTTATTTTCCGAAATTCTGGATTTTTCCACTTGTCTTAAGAAATATATATATCTTTTGTGCTTGCTGGAGATATTATTATTTGGTGTTTTATGCTTTGTTTTAGTTTTTTTTTTGTCTGTTTTCTAAATTTTCTCGATTTGTATGCAGTTTTTATTAGTGTATAAAAATGAAATTAAAATTTTCGAGAAAAATAAGCTTCATTGCTCTAATGCATGTGTGACAAATCACTATTACTGCATTATTCATTCAAACCTTTCGATTTATACCGTTTTTATTTTTTTAACTTGGCGAGGACAATGCAGTAAACCGTTCTCCGCACTCGGGGTCTTTTTGATATAAAGGGATGCATTGGTTGTATTCTGGGCAAGTCTAAATTGCACCGGGTGTAGGTAACTTCAAGCGCTGAGCACTAATGCCTGCAGAAAGTGATTCTAGAACAAGTCAACAGGCAAGGGGTAACTTACCAGCACCATGTTTATGTCGGTCGTCGTCTATGCAACTCTTATCCTAATGTGTCAAGTTGATCTATACTATCAATTTTATCGATGGTTCGTTGCTGAGTTGGAGGCTCTGCGATCGTATTGGTGTTAGTAGCTCGTCCGGCGGTGGACAGAAGGAAAGAAATTAGTAGTTTGATTTGTATTGCAAATTGATTCATCACCTTTGTAATGTATTTCCAACTCAGCCCTACAAATATAGCCTTTTGCTCGTCGCATTAGTACACGTCATCTTGACAACAGTAAGCTAATAAGAAAGCACGCGTGGTAATTGGAGGTTTTTCAAGAAGTTGATGATGACAATGCTCAAAGAGTGGATTTTATGGTCACATCTGATCGCATGGTCTAAATCATTTTTGTTTTGAATTTCAATATGAACAGATCTTATGTAAATGATCTGTTCAGTTCTTTCTAACTACCCACGTCATTTACTTTGCACTTTCGGAGTCTTTTGCTTCTGGTATTTTTGGTTTGTTTCGACATCCCGTTGCTTCGTAAGGTATTCTTAAAATGCTTAAAGTCGCTGAATTGTTTATTTTTTCCCAGTTTTCTTATAACATTACGCTGAAAGTCAGGCGAAATATGTGGCAGCATTGGTGGTTATGTTTTATGCTCGCTGGATTGTTGCCAACAGCATGCGTCGTGCATAGTGAAAATGGTAACAATGACAATCATCTTGATGAAAAGCATATACTCGATGAGGAAGAAAAAAATCCAAGACTTGTAAGTTTTCCTTGTTATTCCCTGAATGTTTATTTGTTTAATTTTTGTTAGATTAGATGGTATTTAAATTCTGGTCACTCATTTGGTGACCTAGGCTTTCGGTAAGTCAGAGTGAGAAATGGAAATCATTAATTAAATCAAGTATTGATAAATTAATCTCTAAGGTGTTTCTTTTGTCCCTTATACTCACTTGCTATCTTGATACTACTTTTTTTAATTTTGTTTTCGTTACCTTCACTGATTTTCCTGAGTATGAAGTGATGTATGACACTTCAGGTTTTGTGGTTTTCTTCTTCAGTGAACCTGTATTAGTGGTGTAGAATGATAAGTATATACTAGTTTTAAACTTGCAGAGATTTATTTTAGGAATACATACCACCTCTATTTCAAACCCCAACGGTTTCCGGCTCACCTCTACTGGTAGATTGGTTCTCAAATCGTAATGTAATTGGTAAGAAATGGATCATATCAAAGGGCAAAAAGGACAATGTAGAAGATTCGATAGCCAAATTCAATGGTATTGTTTTTACATAAGGATTCTAGCATTGCTTTTATTTTTTATTTAGAAAGCAAAAGTTAACAATGTTCTGAACAGTCCAAGTAGTTGTGATAAAGCAAAAATGCGCTTCAAATGCGCCGATTTTGACATTGGTAGATTCAACTGATATATAAGGTATTTGATAATATGTAATTTACGTATAAATTTGCATATTTTTAATGTCACTTATAATGAGCAATCTTAATTACTTAGTTTTGTAAGTTAGTGAAGGGAAAGTAAACAAATACAAATGAATACCGTTTCAGGTCAATGGGAAATAGGCGCTCCCTCAACAGTTGTGATTGACAGTGATTTCGGATTGATTGTGAAAACCAAAGCACGACATCATGCAATTGCTGCAAAATTCAATCGTCCATTTAAATTTGATGGCAAACCTTTAGTTGTACAGTTAGTTTTCATGTAAAAAATACATAAGAGAATAGGTGGTTGGAACATTCGCTGACGTCTTCCTCCTTATAGGTATTTCCTAATTGTAGAATTGTTAAAAGGTCATTGTTATGGAACCATTTCGAATCGGTAAAATATTGAGTTGGATAAACAGATGAAAGCAAGGCCAACATGCTATGACGTATAGGATTTTCGAAAGGTTTTAGGAGAAAAATCGTTCTTATAAAATCGCAAACGTCTGCGCCATTAGGTAGAAAGAAAAATAAAGTGCCGTTTTTATCAATAATGAGTCTATCTTATGTGCAAAACAGCACTTTTTTTATTCAAAACATATCTCGCAATAACCAAAGATGGTCGTTTATGATTTAAATTTTACTATATTGTATATGGAGGGTTGCTTGAGAATTTTATTCAACAACAAGAAAGACATTTTAGCTACTCAACAATACAAATTCTTTCACATTAGTTTATTGATTTATTGTCTCAACGAAGTATATTGCTTATCTCGCTGAATTAACAGTATGTGAATGCACTTCGTTTTCAGGTACGAAGTAAAATATGAGGAGGGACAGGAGTGTGGTGGTGGCTATGTGAAATTATTAACAGAGGGTATAGAAGTGCTAGAAGAATTTACAGATAAAACACCATATACAATAATGTTTGGACCTGATAAATGTGGTGCCAAATCCAGTATCTTATTCATTGTGCGCTTCAGAAATCCTATAAATGGCACTATCTCCGTTAGTTCAAATATGTTTTGTCATCAGTTATGGTTCCTAAGCAAAAATATTGGAGCATAACAAACCTGGGTTGCAGAACAGGGTCGCTAAATCGTCATAGCTGGATTTAGTGCATTAAGTTTCTGAAGAATAGCTGGATTGCATCACAGATGCATACAGGCATTCTGAAAAAATTTCATAATATTTGCTATGGAACTGTATAATTCAATATATTCATGGATTAAATTAGAAATAGAACCATCCGGCTTCAAATTTTAATTTCCCTAGTATATCTTCTCCTGCTTTGGCCTCCTGACCAATATGACCACGAATTTCGAGATTGGCTTTCAGAGAAAGATATAAATACTAGGAACACGCACTTTCTAAGGATATTTTTCTGAGCGTATTTTTTAGGAGCACCATGCGAAACAGCCATCCAAATCAGTTTCAACGTATTTTGACGATCACAAAACCCATTTGTACACTCTGATTGTTCGTCCAGATGAAACGTTTACTGTGTTGGTTGATGAAAGCAAAATTATGTTTGGTAGCTTGATTACTGTGAGTTTTTCTGTTTTTATATATTTCAAACTTCTGACTTTTTTGAAACGATATCTTGCAATCTAAAAATCTTCTTTGGAATCATTTATAAATGATTTTTTTTTTTGTAAAAACAAGAGCTTAAAAGTTCGAGAAATTGACATTTTTTTAATATTTTCTATGTCATTTTTATATTCCCAGGATCTCGAGCCGTCGATTACCCCTCCAGCTGTAATTGATGATCCTACAGACAAGAAACCTGAAACTTGGGATGAACGCGAAAAAATCGATGATCCAGATGCTAAAAAACCTGACGACTGGTGAATTTTTTACGGAGTGCTAGAACTATGTTTGGAAGGAGTAAAAGGAAAGTGGAATTTTGTTAGGGATAAATGAGAAATATTCAGCTGTTTTCGACAGATTTACGATTGTGAAGTTAATATGAGATCAAATCATAATAAATCTGGAAATTATCTTACCTCACTGGGCTCCATGCAACCCGTTTTTCACAATACTTTTGAAACAGCAATGCCACACAATTCTGACACTATCATAGTTAACTATCATAGCTGAGTTTCGATAGAGGCTGAAAGATTTACAGATTTAAAGGTTCTTTTTAATTATTGTTCTTCATTTCGCTGCCAATGTTAGATTCATTCTACCACATTTCTATTGTTTAAGGGATGAAAATGCTCCTCGGAAAATTGAAGATGCAAATGCTGTAATGCCTGATGACTGGCTTGAAGAGGAGGAGGCGTTAATTCCAGATCCGGAGGCAAAGAAGCCATCCGACTGGGATGATAGCATGGATGGTGAATGGGAAGCGCCGAGAGTTGATAACCCGAAATGTAAAGATCGGAGTGGTTGCGGTAAATGGACAAAACCACTGATCGATAACCCAAATTACAAAGTAAGTTTTGAATTTCAGAAGTGGTTTCCCACTTGATAGAACTTAGTGTCGAGTGTCAGCTCTTGTTTTGTTAAAAGACTTTTCAGCTTTTGAATTCAATTTTCGGAATCATATATTCTGGTCTTAGAAATAAAGTGATAAATGTATTGCATAAATTTATTTGATCAATATCACCTGAGTGGATTTATATCAGTTGAAATCAGAGTATGATTACGAAATGTGAAATGAAGTAATACTGAAAATATAATGAAATGATATAGGTCGTATTTTGCCTGAGGTTTTCATATTGATGAAATAGCGATATCGAAAACTTTGTTCAGCTTGAAATTAAAAAGGAAATCATTTCATATCTCTAGGGGAAATGGAAACCGCCGCGTATTGCAAATCCTAGTTATAAAGGGAAGTGGAAGCCAAAGCAAATCGAGAATCCGAATTATTTCGAACCTCATCCATACTCTCAATTACAACCTGTCACAGCGTTTGGGATTGAACTTTGGACAATGAGTGCAAACATAATCTTTGATAACATTTATGTTGGAGATGATGAAAATGCTGCTTCCAGTTTTGCCAAGCAAACCTTCAAAGTCAAACTTGCTCAGGTATTTCAACCTCTTAGAATCTTTATGGAAGAAATTGAAGTATTGCTTCTGTAAAAGCTATCCTTTCCTGAATTCAGGTTTTTTTTAGCTCTTGATTACATATTATTTATCTTACAGGAGGCTGCTTACGAAAGCGCATCCTCTCCTGGTCAAGGAATATTTAGTAAAATTTTGTCAGCGACCGAGGAACGGCCGTGGTTGTGGGTTATTTATGTGCTATCCATTCTTATACCAGTGATCATAATAGCCGTTATTTGCTTTGGACGCAAAACTCGCTCAGTTACGCTGGATTATAAAAAAACTGATGAAGTAAGTCACCTAGTAGGTTCGTCAATTGTTAAAGGTTACTCAAGTACTTATTTCAAATTATATCGGGAAAAATTCATTCTCCAGTCTCAGGTAGGATTATGTTTCGTTTTTGTTTTGTATTTGTTTTTTTTTTTTGTTGTTGAAGTCGCATCCTGACGATGAAGTACCGGACCTTGTCGGAGACGATGATGAATCTGTGGAGCGCAGTTCGCAGGAACCTGAAGCACATAATAATGCAAAAGAAAAGAAACGGACCCCTTCTCGATCACCAGATCGTTCACATATGGAAAAGGTATGCATAATTGATTACTTGATTGGAAGAATGAATTATTGAGGCGTATTTTATTATTTTTTGGCGGATTTAAATTACTGTCTAACGTAAAATCTTGTAACTTGTAGTACCAAATGTTTTGCATTTCTGCTTATAGTGTTTTATACCACGGAAGAATTCGTGCATATGCAGATGGTCTAGTTTCAGCATGGGTAATAGAGGTTGGATCGGCATAAGCTAAAATCTGTATTAGGGCAATTAAAAATTTTAATAGTTAAGGATGAATTAATCATTGCAGGAAGCGTCATCGAGTGAAGAAATCAGAAATGAAGATTACAGCTCTTCGAAAGTGAGGCGTGTGCGTCAAAGGAAACAGGATTAGAAAAGGCAGATATCATTAGCTCTGTTCCAAATTTACATTCATCTGTAAGCAATCAAAAAGTGGAAGTATTAACACCACCTTTCTTATTTGTAGTGTTTATCTTTTTGTTAGCTATTCCAAAACTAATTTTTTCCAAAGTCACTTTTCAAAATTTACGATATCTACCTACAATTCCTTTTCCAGAACTTCCGGTATCATTGATCGTTTGTTTTTCAGAACTGGTTTTTATAGTTTAATTTATTTAGACATAATTATTCTTTACTCGTAAGAAAGGAATTTAGAGCTCCGGTAGTTTTTTTGGGGGGAACTTATAAACTCATCGATCATTGGAACAGCAGTTTTTAGATCCTGTCGTTTGAATTGACACATGTATTGAATCTAATACCCATTGTCAGGTTTAGATTTTCTACTGTGTGGTTTCTTCATGTTCTCTGTCAGCTTTGGGTGATCCTAGCATTTTTGCCTCTGTCGTTATTCCGGTTATGGTGTTTTGATTTATTCTTTGTTTGCTCTACAGCTTACTTTATTGCCAATTAATTGATTGTTAAAAATATAGAGATGAAGAAACCTAGAATTACCCACCTTCCTGAATACTTCTCCGAACCTTCTTTCGTGTTCGGATTCCCAGGCAAATTTGGATACACTTGTTGCATTGGCATTTTCTGATTGAGTTCGAATTTTCGGGATTTTAATGTTTAGATCGTCTTTAAGATTTCATATTTAAGCAAAAAATGTATTTGGCATAAGGTCCTTGTTACATTTATACGGCTGTTACCTCTTAATTTTTCTCTGGATGAACCTGATGTAGTTGTTGCGACACTATACAAATCCTTATACTATGCGGCTTCCCAATGATTTTTGTGGTGGCTTTGACTTTGCCAGAAGCTTGCGTCCTTCTGATTCACTTCTTTTTATGGACTACCGTCAACAGTAGAAATTACTTCCCATATCATTTAGACGTCTTTCCAGACGATCTGAAGTCTGTCTCTTAGGTGTTTTCCGAATTTTTTCATTTTAATCAACATTTAGTCTTCATCTGGTCGATGTTTTTTCGAAACGACATTGCCATTGCCATCATCGTGAATAGAAAACTACTCGCTTTTTGCCTGTAGTTTAATAGAAATCAAGAAATTTTCTGGTTTTTTAGCTTATAATTTACGAACCAATAACAGCCATACTTTTGATCACACTGTTCTTTTCGGTTCCAATTGTAATTGGCGTTACTTCAATAAATTTTTGCCTACAAAAAGAAACATAACTTTGTACCGTAACTAAGTGGTTCAATTTCGGCTTAATTCAAGTTCATTTTGACTTACGTGTTTGCGGATTATTCTGCTTGGAATATCTATTCAGTTAAAGAAACGAGCTCGGATATTCGACAAATGCCAGATGACTTTATTTTACCACTTCTCTCAGTATTATATTATGACCAAACACAACTACCCAACCTGTTTTCTTTTACAACATTTCTCCGTTCTTGATAACATTCTAAACCGCACAAGCTAAAAATATTCCAGATACTAATAAAACTGCATTGAACAGCTCCTATTGTTCAAAAATGCCAGGAACTATTTGGAATATAATAACTGGATTTCAGGTCCAAATTTATATAATTCAAAAAAGCAAACGAAGGGAACAATTCGTCAAAATTTCGGTTGACTATATTAGTTAGCGAAATATAAATTAAATAGGCAGATTTCGAGTGAATTTGGAAGATATGTCTAACTGTTGTATTATTTTCCTTTGGAAAATAGCACAGATGCAAAATGTGTTTGGCTCAGAATATATTTACTTTGAGGAAAAGATCATATCATATAATGCTGTTTTGTTGATTCATACTGAATACGGTGTTCAGCAATCGAATGCTTTTTTGATATCGTCGGTCTCGAATTCGGGAGTACTCGTTCCAGCTGGAAAATTGATTCTGTTTCATATTTAAACTCCAAAAGACCTTTCAATTTGAATGTTATTGCCCGTTCTTTCAGAGCAGTTAAATATGTAAATTAACACAAAAAAGAAATTCATAAATTTCCTAAAACTGCGGGAAATATGTTTCCATTTTTTTGCTTTCTTTTGAGGTGAACAACTGACTTTTTCTTGATTCTTTTCCAGTGCGGCAGATAAACGGCCAAGAGCTCCGTAGAACTTGTTGTATCCACCTTGACTTTCGTATTAATGTACAACGGTGGAGGAGCTGGTTCTATCCGGATGCGATCATGCGGCCGTGGCAAAGCCCAAATTTCTTTTGTAGCCAGTAAATCCTAAATATAATTTGTTTGAACAAACTATGCTGTTTAAAATTGTTTGAATTCGTTTGAACAAAACTTCTTTTAATTTAGATACTAATATTTTGCATTACCATCAGTATTTACACTACTTCCGAAGTGTTCGATTTTTTTCTTCTTACAACATCTTACAATTTACTGGTTTAAAAAACATACTGTTTCTATCTTGAAATCTCAAAAGTGATAATGCTGCTATCCTTCAACTTTCAGACTTATAGATTTGGAATGACAGGACCGAAGACCGAACCTTACTATAAAAATTGTTTCAAATGTATTTTGAACAAGTATATGAAATTAGCCAGGGAAGTAAACGAAGGACACTGAGAATCATTAACCATAATAATTTTCGCAAAAAATATAGGAAAACGATACTAATATGAACCAGAAAAACAAGATTCTCGCAGATGGAACCTACGAGTGAGTCGTCGGACGGTTCTGGATGCTCTACTTCTCGCTTTTCTCTTGGTCGTTCGTCATCACTACCTCGCATCCAATTTCGACATAGTGCATATACGCCTTCTCGACGACCACTATCTCGCAGTGCAAAAGGTTTGCCACGAAGTTCGAAGACCATTCCTAAAAATGACTTTACATTTTATGCATTCTGAAAAAAAATGGCTGTTTCATCTAAGCAATAAGCTGGATAGAATAATTCATTCAGTTCTATTCTTCGATGGTGGCCGTTATGCCAGCGTCTGCAGTAGTTTATACCAAAAAATTTCTGTATCTCTGAAAAGCAGAATATAATAAACGCTAATGCCGATGAAACAAGACTATACTGTTACAATTAAAGTAAGTAACTACTCACGTCGACTTTCACGTCGCAACGATTTCTTTGGACGTTCAAGCAAGTCCCTTTCCATCTCTTCTGGACTGTAAAACAAACGTCAAAATAGCTAAATTTTAAATATTCTAGTAAGTCGGCAAGTTCTAGTCATTGAACCTGAAGTCAAATGTTTTGTAATAAATCTAGAATTTCAATCATGAATATCTCTTTTTGATACAAGTATAACCTAACCTTCTTGCTCGATTTCTAGCTTGCATCCCAGTTTGAATCTCACCACTTCGTATTCCATCAAGAAGATGACCAAAACGTGTCCGAGCGAATTTCATATCTGGTGATTCGGGCATATCCCTGGCCACTGTCTTCTGTAAAGTGAAATCTTCTGTCAAGCATAATTTAATTTTTATAATTATATGTAAGCTTCTGTAAATGAACAGTATAGCAACGGAAAGATTGGATGAAATAGTGAATAGTGGAGGAAAGCATAAGATGAGGTGAAATACACGGGCCCGAAGTGAAATATACGTAATTTTATACTGAATCAAGTCGCTTGAAAAGTTATGGTAAAATAAGTTTGAAATTCAAAACAGCAGGTATGGTCTTGTTACGAGAATTACTGGAAAGTACCTCTTGGATGACAGTTGCTTTCCAGGGTGAAGCACTGGCAGCTGTGGAGGCACTGTCTGCTGACTGCTCGCACACGGGGAGTACTATATCTTCCGCTCTTTCCAATGATGACATCTTATCTCTGCAAAGTTTTCGTGTCGGTCAGTCTTCTCAGAGATCGAATTTACCACTCACATAACAGTTAACCGAAGCAACGCGTATCTTACTGTCATTTAAAGTCTACGTAAGCCATCACTGAACTGAAATTAACGACCGACAAAAGAGAGAATGATGTCGAATAGAAATCAGTTGAATTTCGCGGTTCTCGTTGGGGGACGCGATGAAACTGATTCGCCATCCTGTTTCCTACTAGCAGCGAGTCTGTTGCTTTTGTCCTGCAGAGTATGGTCTGTTAGGTGATCGGTGAAGTTCTTCACTTCGATAGATCTCTCTCTTAAGTCTAGTATCCATGATATGGAATATGGGATCTTAGGAAGTTTCTGGAGAGTAAAAACATTTAAGATTTGAAACAAAGAATTTTAATATCAAAATGACTCGGAAATTGAACTGATAAGCGCTCGCTGTTTGCTGTTTTCTTGAATAAATACCTAATATTCAGGCTTGACAGGACAATCACCTTCTCATCGATATCCCCGGAGATCGTTGATTGTCAAGTTCTATCTGAGGAAAAAAGAACGTTCGTTCGACCAGTTCTTGAATAAACAGAATTTGGAGTAAGTATCCTCCAGCATACTGGTTCTTTTTTGAAAGCTATTAATGATATGGATAGAAAGGTGTAATAATGTTTATTTATTTTTCCAAATAAATTGGCTAAATACCAGTAAAGAAGTTTGAAATTAATAAGAGCCATACCATTCTCAGCATCCTATGGCGCAGCGATGACGTTTGATGAACGGATGGATATCTGGGTCATCCTCATGCAAACACAGGTTTTTTAATGATTTATTAATTAAAGCATGTAATATCAAATGACATGAGAAACAGGACTGAGTAGGGACGGATATGAACGATGAATTGGATGTTAGTTGGTTGACATCACATCCATCCATCCATCCTTACCCTTCTCTTCCCATCGTACAACCGCCAGTTATATTTGCCACAACTATCATCACATTGGCAATCATTATCACTATCGTTATTGTTATGTTATTGTTACTGTTGGTCAGTGAAGGAAACGTGTAAATTAATTAATACCGTTGTTTTTTATTTTCTTCCTCCTCAACGTCACCGTAACAAATCTTACTTCTGTTACTGTCATTCTCCTTCTTATCACCTTATCATCCACTGCCCCAGTCCTATTTTATCATCCTGTTTTTATATTTACGGATACTTCAGCAACAATGATACTTCCATCGTTCGTTATTGCGTTCATTGTTTCAACTCTTTCCACAACTGGCGTAGGTTAGTACATCGCACACTTTTTTTTAGCTTATCTATAAGTATTTGATGGATGCAGTCAATTTTAGAGTTCATAGTATTTTGGTAAGAAATAATTCTGACCATAACTTTAAAGATAATTAGTACATATATTCAGTTAAGTTGAACTTTATTTTTGCTACTTATACGGGTCAATCCTTCTGTCTTCATTTCCGTGTTTCCGAAAGTTGTTTTTAAGGTTAGTAATTGTTCTGCTTACATTGCAGATTCTTGCTGATATTTACTTCAGACAAATATGTAAGCATTACTCAAAGCACTCGAATACTTAAGCAAACCAGATTGAAAATATACTTAATCTTCCTTCCTCTCTAATTAATTTTTCGCATTTAATGATGGTCTGAAACACTAGGATACACTTGTCTGCTTTTGTCTTACTGTATTTCTCTTTTGAGATGATGAACGATAAAAGTCGCCAGTATCTACGAATCTACAAATTGTTTTAGCTAGAAATTATTAACGCAACTTAGTTTCCCGGTCTTCTTTGGCACTTCTATTTCACTTCTCGAAATAGCTTAATGACTTCATTTTCTTGAAGAGAGAAGAACAGAATTCTGCTGAAAAGTTCCATCCATCACAATTAACTACTTGAAGTTAAGCAAGTTACGTATTCAAGAAAATTGCTTATGTGTCTGACCAGTTTCAGAGACACAATTGTCAGCAATGTTTGGTAATGCAGTACAGGCGGATAATTGCGCCCAGTGGACAGCTTGGGGTCCATGTGTTTGGTTGAAAGGTAATAATCCAAGATGGCAGCATTCCTACTTTGATCAATTGTTACCTGGCAAAAACGGCTGCCGTGAACACATTTTTTTCAAACTTTTACGTGAACGTTGGAGCGTGGTGGGTGTTTTTTATGCATTTCGAACTTCTTTCAGTTTTAAAGACATAGATATTTTAATATGAGTATAATATGGTGAACCAAAAAACTTCCAACGATCTGATTATGAATATATTCACTGTCAGGTATATTGTCTTTCTTCCTGATAGTCTTCATTATCTCATTTCTTCAGTTTTCTTTTTTTAATGCTTTCTATAAATTTATACTCCATTTTTTACATATAAGAAGTTTCAACTACTTCACCAACCAACGATAGAAATGATACGACAGAAATTTAATCACCTTAGTTCTCAAGACATAGTAGCCTAGTTGTGTTCTTCAGGCCTCATGATGCTTCTTCATTCCCTTTGCATCGAAATTAATTTTCAAAGCACTTACTAGCCTTTTGAAAATAATTTTCTTCCAACTGTATGGTGATGTTTATGCTGAATTTGAAGAGTAACTGGATGAGAAACACGAGTTGATTCTCAGTTGAGAGCAGCTGTAGATTTTATATCAAATCTCAGAATTTTTAATTGAATTTTCAAAAGGCTCTTCAAGATCTATTTATTTCATTTGAAAATAGAATTAAAAATTATTTGAAACACAGCTCCTTGTTCACTGAACTATATTCTGAGGTCATCTTGAAATTCAACAACATGTGCATATTTGTTATTCATCGCAGATTAGGATCTAATCTTTGATGATCTGTCGTGAATAGTGAAATATAGTGAATAATATTTAGTAGGTCATTTGTTATCATCTTAAAAAATTTGTTCTCTGCAGAAACTTTTAGATAAAAAGAATGAAATTATTAACAAAAGAATGTATTGCAGAGTAAAGTTAATTGGGACCACTTTTCAATAAGATTATTTTGTTTGTATCAACTGATGAATTATATTGAAAAGAAGCATCTTTTTTATCAAGATTTATTTTGAAGTGACGAGTTCCTGGTGGGATCGAGAACATTTTTTTGAGTATCTCTGATGATTCATGTCGAATGAGCGATTTTGTCTTTTGAAAGTACAAAGAAATTTCAAGATGCATAAAGTATCTGGAACATCATCGCTCCAGAAATGCTATCTCGGAAGCGATGGGCATATTGAAATGTGAGTTATTCCCGAGAACGCACCAAATTCAGAAAAAAGAAGTTGACTTTCTTCCATGTGCAGAAAAAGTTTGATTGCAAAAACTATGCATCCGCAAGAAATGTCATTAATATCGTGCAACTGGAATTTGTTTTTAGAAAAAGATGTCAAAAATAAAAGTAGTAAGGTTCTGCTCTTTGAGGTTAACTTAATGAAATGCAGGAAATTTTCAAAATTACGCAGTTAAGTCCTTCTGATCATAAAACCAAGATTCTAAAATTCAGGCGAAAGTTTTAAGCGCGACGTCAACGGTCAAAAACTTTTGCTTTTAAAAGACAAAATGGTTGCAAATTTGGAAGTCAAATTTGAGGTTGAATGGTCAGGTTGGAAAGTCCATTTTCTTTTCATTGATTGTGGGTCTCATCTGCTAGACATTGTTCAATTATTACTGCACGATTTCAGCCAATAATGCCCTCCTTTGGGCAATGGTTATTATTCAAAATGACCTCGAAATATGCATTATCATTGTTATTTTTCCCGTTTCATTTCCAACTTTCTTATTTACTGTTCTCAGTTTTGTAATCAAAATGCAACATCCTATTAATATTTACGATTTTAAACGATGTGCATCTGTTAAATGAATTAAGTCTGAATTAAAAACTTAAAAAGATGCATTCATACTTCTTCCGAAATTTACTGCAAGTGAAAAGGTATTTTATTGGAAAGGTGACATTTGTTGTAGATTTCATGTTTCACTGTAGATTTCATGATACTTAATGTACAGCATCAAATAGGCTTTAAATCACAATTACATCCTATTTTCAACAAAATGGTTGTCCTCAAAATGACTTTGGCTTATATTATCTTTAAGAAGCCAGGGGAAAGGAGCAAAAAGGAAGACAAGTTTAATCTTCTAACGCATTAATCTTGACAGATTTTAGGCTTTCAATAATTTCTATAATTATCTTCGCAGTATTACCATCAGTCAACAACAATGTGGCCAGTGCTCCTATCAACAGAGCTGTGGAAGACAGTGTCACCGACGGTTAGTTTACAGCGATGGAGTTGCCATATGTTTAAAAAAAGAAAATAATAAGTTGTGATTCCGACTTTCACTCTAAGGGATATGCCTTATTGTAGTGATACTTAAATGGGTAAAGAACCTAACACATTTGCTACCTAATTTCAACATTCTTCGAGAAAACTTATTTCATATAAAAAATAAAATCTTATTTTTCTTCAGGAAATTTGGAATTCTAATATTTCTTTGAGACTTTACAAGGACATTATATTAGTATTGGTGATAATCATTATGATATCCACAGTAGCCGTCCTTAAACTTGAACATTTTGGAATTTCTAAATTATAATAGTCAATATGACTATAATCTATCCCACATTTCAAGAATTACCTTTTCTATGGCTGAATTGGAACATTTTCTAGAAGGTTCCATTCCAAAACACTTTTTGGCTACCGTTACAGAAGCTGGTGCACCTGAACAGGGAAATATGTATTTGTATGGCTATCCCTTACTGAAGCTTAATTTACATTTCTTTTTCCGTCTGCCCATTGAAACATCCCGTAGCGCATATTTTCCCCATGAGAAGTACTGCTAACGATTGTTACAGCCTTCTGTTGTACACTTATGGCAATCAATTTACCGTATGAAGTATCACATTTTTCTTTTTCTTTTTTTTGTCTTTTTTCTTTTCAGCTGCAATCTCCCGAACGATAGAAAACCGTTTTATTGGAAATTAATTAGATTTTTCATTCGAATTCCTCGATTGAAATTCTGAAAATTACCTGATATTAGGTTTATGAGATAGAGGCAAAATTGCATTTTAATACTGTAATTTTTTTCTAATGTACAAAACAAATTTTACAATTTTTTATTTGAACTTTTAAATGTTTTAAAAAATTTATGTCAAGTTGCAAACTTATAAGTTGTTGCTTGCTTTATCTATTAAACATATAGCCAGCAAACAGTAAATAAAATTTTACGAACCTTTAAAGTTATTAGCAATTTAGATTTATCGAGGTATGAATACTTTCCTGAAATGCGGATCACATGAACATTTCGTCAAATTCGATAGCTTATTAAATCTCAGAACTTTTACCACTACCTTGCAAATGAATGCATGACCACGTAATCTGCTGACCAATCAATACATGTACATATTAAATTCGGCAAATAAAAAAGACGAAATGAATGAAATTTAGCGGTACAACTGATATGGTCAATCCGCTCTTCGTTGCGGAACGCGTTTGTGTTGGAGTGGATCAATCGGCGGCGTGTGAATCGAAATATGTTGAGGGTTGCAAGCATTGGCCGAATCCCAATATCAAGCTGCCCAATGTTACCCATACCATGCAAGAAATTATCGATAAAATCGATTATTTAAGCTGCATACCACAGACAAAGTTTGTTCCTTTTGTAATCAATTTTAAATATAACTTGTTAATGTGAACTATCAAACTGAGCAATTGTTATCAGCAAGTAACGGAGCGGTGTTATGCAATTTCTTCTTATGCTTCGGAGTAGACAAGTTATCGGCATTTTAGCAACGGTTGTCATCAATAAAAGAAGTAATGAAAAAAGAGAAAAGTGGGATGGATGTCTTGTAACATTTGCTCATAATTATTAAAATTACTATAGCTTTGAGTTTATCAGGCTTGATATCTTGATAATGATGAGTTGTTCGTCTGTTCATTTAATTGCCCTCTTCACTTCTGATTACCACTGAATTTGCGAACTTTCCTGATTCGATTTCGAAGTATGAGAAAATCACAAAACAGCAATGGCCTATAATCCATTGACTATTTTTTGGTGATGTTTCTAAAATCCGAAGTGAAATGATTTTTCAAACATTTCATTTCAGAATCTTAGAATTTCAGAACCTATTTCTTTTATCTTCTTAGCAATATTCTTCTTAATGCTTTCCAAAAAGATCAGATTATTGACGATCTGTAAGATGGCGATGACAACAAGAAGTCTACACAGTAGAATTCTTTCGGAATGTTTTTAATTCATCTTTGATTTATTTACTTATTTATATGCTTGCTGGTTGATCTCTTAGTCTCCTGCATCGTTTTGTCACTTTTAAGGTAATTTTTAACAAATCCAATATCTTGTTAGTAATATTTTTACATTCTTTGAAGGATCTTATCTTTAAGCTTCTAAATTCTCTTCAAGATATGAATATTACCGCTTCAAAAAGCGGTAATTACTTTTAGTTGGTAAAAAAGAGACAAAAAAGGACAAGGAAAGAATCACTAGGAGTAATTTCAAAAAACATTGGGTCTCTTCCTCCCTGCCTTCAAAGTGATTAACAAGTGGCATAAATGCCAAATGCCAATTTCTCAACCTTTTATTTGCGCTCATCCCTCTTGTGCTATTTTTCCATTTCCAAAAACTGTATGTGATATAGACGAGAAATGCGGGAATGATTCGTTGAATCGTCCCTTTTTTTTTCATTTTGATTACACATTAGTGCCACATTATGGAACGAATTCGTTCATTCATTTGTTCGCTTTTTTGTTTATCTTCCCAATCATCATTCTTTTTCCGTGTCACTTTCCTGTTTTGAGGATGAAAGGAGAGAGAATTGAAAGAGAAATCACGGGAGGGAAGAAGGGACACAGATCAACCAGATTATTCGATAATAATTTCACATCACATTGGAAATTCAACTTCAAGTTTCACTCTAAAATCCTTCACTAACTTTTTCTTCCACAATTAAGCTTCCTTATGTCTCACAATACAGGAATATTGAATTCAGCGTAACAAAGGTAAATGATATAAGCCTTATAAGCAGATGATAATGAGTTTAGTTTCGTTTATCAATTTTGCAGCTATATATGAGAGTTATTAGTTGATAAACGTTTAAATCTGCAGAGAGATGATGCCACTTGACAAATTATGGTAGAATAGAATCATAATTCACCGGGAAATATCATCATCTTTATCCTCCACGAGGGATAAATCAATTTTCAAATACGCCATTTTATTAGACAACACGCTTAATTATCGTAGAGTGAATCCCAACCGTCTGTATATCCTATTTTTAAAAAAATACAAGTAATTTTTCAAAATAAAGAAATTAATGTAGACAAAATTTCTTAAAGTGACTACAAATATATAGTAAAATTGATCAATAATTTGGTTTCATTTTGTTGTAATAAGAAGAAACTTTTTGTTAAGAAATGATGCGCACGTTTGTATTATTTACGTGGTAGAAATATTTTTAGCGCCATCTTGAAATTTTTCCTAAGAAATTTTTTCTAAAGTGAGCTTTAGTTTCATACTTCATATTTGTTTCTTTAACTGTTAGACTTATCTTGTAGGCCTGATGGAACGAATGTATGCCGTTGTTGTTGTCATCCGTATGTGCCACATGCAACAACCATGAAATGTGAATTGAAACCATATTTGAACGTGAACAAGCAACAGTATCTTTACGAGAAGGTGCAATCTGTTACGGATTGATTTCTGGAATTTCTCTTCTGGCCTTCACTTTGCTCTTCCATGTTCTACTTCATCTTGTTGATTTATCAATTTGTATAAAGTTTTTGAACACAGTGATAGTATTCGTTTTCGCAATAACAGGGATAACGTTATTCATGCACGTGTAAGTGTAATCAAACGCTCTTTCGAAACAGAAATTAAGATTCTATAATCACTGTCCCAAAAAATTTTATAACTGGTTTTCCCAAGTAAGAAAATCAAATGAATTTATGAAAAGTGAAATCGAAATTCGAGCTGAATTGATTTCTGAATGTACCAGTCAAGTTAGTTGCGGAGTTTTATAGGCATTAATATGGATAGAACGATTAGGAGAGTTTCAGGATACTTTAATGCCTATTTTTTAAATATTTTAGGTCTTTTTGTTCGAGAGATTTTGTCATTTACATGATTTTACACCTATTGAAACTGAGGATTTTCTTATATCTGGTCTTAGTTTTTTAAATTTCTTCGGTAGTATAATTTTTCTTGCTACAAAAAGCGCAACTTGAAACTTTCAAATCCAATATACCTGTTAGCAGTGAATGTGAAATAAGGTTTTGGTTGGTGATTAAAGTTGATTTAAAAGGTGCATTTCGACCTGGAACTATTTCACAATCCAACTCTGAGCCTAGATGAATTGAATTTGGAAGTTTTTTTCCTGATGTAATGGACTTTTGGTTTGGAAGACTGCTTCGAATCTTAATCGATCATAACATTGGTAAATAAATTGCAAGTAAAGGAGTAGCTGTGTTACGGAATGCAGGTACTGGGCATTCCTGCCCTGTTATATATTTACATCAATCAGTATCTTCGGCCTTATATGGTGCAAGAAAATTACTCGTAATCCATTGTGATGTGATCGTTGGGGAAATGAAGCTTTGGGAAAATTTCTTGTGGAAAGCTTGTTTAATTTGGGTCAGTCTTCTCATTCCACGTGAATGTGTGTTCTGAGAAGAAATTGGTGCAAATGTATCATGACGAGGCGCAACTATTTTAGACGAAATCTAGAATACGAAATTAATATCTGCCTTTGGTTGTTTGAGTATACTTTGAGTAGTCGAAGTACTGCGTTCAATTTGAAATGGTCGACTTCATAAGTTATTGCTGAAAAGCTTTCGTTAGGATAAATCGACCTCCAGATAATGTCTGTGTCAACCAATCACATCTACTCGTTAGGAATTCATGATTTGATTTAGACTGGTCAGGTCACTTAACACGATGAGCTAATTATTGAATTATGTTCTTCCTTTCGGGGGGTTTTATATGGTTTAGTTTTTATAATGATAATTATTGTTTCTCATGTTATTTTTTCGGCTTTTTATTATGTTTTTGATAAGAAATGTTTTTTGTGTAGTAATTCTTTTAAGTTTGTTTTAAAACGTAGTGATAGACAAATGACTGAATTATGGTCCTGGTTAGTTATTGATTGAAATCGGATGGAATGCTTTGTCAGTCTGAGTGAGCTTGGAAGGTGATAAGTACATTAGAATTATAAATGTTACGACAGTAATGTCTACAATAATGTCTCTTGTTACGACAGTAATGAGTTATGTTTTGGAAACTTCTTTTCATTCGTTTGATATTGACAGTTGTTGTATTTTGTCACTGGGATTTAATATAACATTTATTGCAAAGGCAATTGCAATAAATCCTATATTAATTTCTGCTGAGGCAATTCATTCTTTTGCTATTTTAAAGTGTTTCATTAAGGTAGATCCTTTGCGGAGTTAGCAGATTGAGGGATAGCTCACTACCGCATATCCGTGATATACTTGTGAGATGAGATTAAGAGACAGGAGGTAACTCAACCGATTTACTATTATCAGCCTGAAGGGGAGGAGCGTTTTAGATGGAGTAGCGTTTCGTCGACCAATTTACATCTCTCCTCCCCCTTCTATGGGCTTTTAAAATTCAGCGGACAATTGGAAGGCACAACCTATCCAATGCGCCCATCCATCGCTGTCAAATTTTGCTTGGGAGGAAGGAGAAGGAGGAAAAGAAGACAACAATTGTCCTTCCATTCCTTTGGGCTCAAACTTTATTCGTTCCATCGTAAGAGAGACGGAAAGTGACACATTCCCTCTTTGTTTCATTCTCTCATTTCAGTCTAAGCTCAGCTTAAAAACTATTTAACTCCTTGGAAACGAGTAACATCTTCTGACTCATGAAACACGCTCTATTTGAATCATTTTGATGTCAATTCTAACTTTTGCTTAAAATTCTAAATTCTAGTTGCCGAGAGAGTGATTAGTCGCTGTATTACTGGTGATTTCTTTTAAGCGATAATGTCGGATAGCAATAGCACCATCAATTCTACTAATGGTGCAACAGCCAAAGACCAGGCGACCATTCATAGCGTATGTTTCCTTTTTGTTTTGTTTACCGCTTTACATTTATCACATATATGTCGACAAAACATTGTTAATTAATTACAATTCTATGGATGGGATCCGCAGTAGAATAGCTTTTATTGAAACTTTTGTTTAGGGATGGGATAAGTCTTGGCTCCAACCAATGGAAGGGATCATTTGCTTGTAGTTTAGGCTAAATAGTGAGTCATCTTGATTTTTCCTGTCCACTCATTCAGTGCATCATATCTGCTGGAGTTGGGCGCCTGCATTTAGCTATATACTTTATCTCTTGAAAATTGTTGTAAAATCGTTTTATTCAGTTCACTCAATCTTTACTATACCGATTGGTTTTCAGACTGTCCAATATTGGGTGGTCAGTAAATGTAGTGTTCAATTCTGAAAATCTTTTTGACAATTCTGAAAATCTTTCAATTCTGAAAATCTTTTTGAACTATTTTTTTGAATTGTAACGAACTGTTTTGAATTTCATGAATTCATTAATTTGTGAACAAAAGAGGTAGACTTGACGAGAGGGCGAAAAAGAGAGAGAGATGGAGAGTAAAAAAGTAATTTTTTTGTAACGTTTTTAATTAACTTAGTGAAATATAAGATCTTCTCTTCATGTCTTTGCAGTACTACTTGTTATAATCTTCCAGTTTTATTTTTATTCTTTACAATCGTCCAATTTTATTTGTTACTGTTAATTGTTTTCTTGTTAGTCTCACTTCAATTTAGCTAATAATCTTATCAATTTGTTTAGTGACATCTTCATACATTATTTTCGCAGCTGCCATTTTGAATCAACACCTTGGAGGGAAATTGAATTACGGTCAGGAAGTATTATACTCATATGTTAGACATTCTCCAGAATTTGTTGACTTAGATTTCCTTGAAAGTTGACCGGACCATCCAGTCCGGTGTTTGTACACTTGTCAAACAGCGATTGCAATTGAAAAATCTACCGCTGTGGGCTATTAAGAAAGACACAACAATAGTAATATAATCCGTTTAGAACCGGAATTGTATTATGTCAACAAATCTCACGGAATATTTACTTCGTCTATGTGTACGTGTTTGTATAGGTGTATGTGTTTGTGTGCGTGCGTGTGTGTGTATGTATATATGTATTTGTGTATATGTGTTCGTGAAAGAGTAATAAAATGATTTGAAAATTTAAATGATTGATACTAAAGATACGATCGTTTAAAATCTTCAAATGATTTAATTCTTCAAATTCAAGTTTGAATAACTGTTTATTCTTTGTGCATCGTCGAAATATTCCGGATATGTTTGCTTCCAGTATATCTGCAAGTTAACCCGAATATTTTTCTTGAGAGTTTTTTTAAGTTATTCATTTCTTTACGCAGTGAACACCAATGAAAACATTACGTTAATGAGCCAAAAGCGCTTAGCTTCTAGCTTTAAAGAAATGTAGCAGTGTGCTAGAGATTGAGGAACAACAGTGGTATCTCTAAGTAATTGAGAAAGTGTGAAACATGAGCTAAGGTCGACTAACATTACTAAATCCATCTTGGATAGTCTATTAATCAGGAACTGAGAGTAACAGAGGCTATAAAGCGGATAGCTAGAATAATTTATCGTGTATTTTTGCATAGCAATCATGAGAAAAGTGTTTATGATAAATGGCAATCATGCATTTATTTAATACTGGAAATAATTGCAGAAATAAAAAAATCACTTATAATATTTGCGTAGAATAGGAAATGGAAATGTAAATGGTTAAAGATTCTTCTTTTTATACAAGAAGATCTATAATTTGATAAAATCTATTATTACGAAGAAAGCCTTTCCTTCCTAAATCGGAACTCTGCCACTATTCCTTGCGGTTTATATGCAAATAATTTCATTGCTAAGGAAGAAGTTAAAGTTACCTTTATGGAACATTAATCTTTTACTTACTAATTACTTGGTATGTACTCGTAAAGATGGAAATTTTCCCACTCGTCTTCGTGGCACATTTGCTTCCCGGTCAGATTTCCTCTTCACAGTTGTGTTACCCCGTACAAGGAAGATAACTATTCATGAGCATTGCCTACTTAATCTCCACTTTTTAGGGAAATGTTTAAGACTTGCTTTCTGCAGGTTTCCATTGAAAACGTAAGTTACATTCGTTGTGTCATTGATTATGTCATTTCGATAAGGTATTGCTATGTCTCAGCTACAGGGAGCCTGTCAGTTATTTACACTAATGAGTTGTCCATAAGTTATTTGTACTAATTTGAAAATAGCCAGAACATCAAAGATGCAACAAAAAATTTATTAACTTATTATAATAAATCACTAAATACCAACTGCGCATTCTCGACATAATGGCGCAATTATCACTTAGATTTATATTCACAACTTTAATTGCCAAAATGTCCTGTGAATTGAGCAGTCTACTTGAGTTACATGATCTTCAATTTCAAAATAGCCTAATCGGCAATAATAGCATATGCAGACAGATAGTACCCTAGAAATGCGCAGTTAGCGAAAAAAACGAGGTGTGATTCACCTCCAAAAACTTAGAAATGAATACTGGAGAGGCTGTCGATGACAAAGATAAACTTCTTTTGCCTGAAATTAGAATTACTAAATGGTATACAAGGAGTAAACTGAACAAATTGGGGCTCTTTTCTACCAAGTATCGATTAGTGGGGATATTGATTGAGGTTTTGGTTTTTTAAAATATAGGGGTGATATATAGTGCTACAATGGGAAAGAATTTAATCATTTAACTGAAGTATGCCACGGTTAAAATTAGAGCTGTAATTAAGATTTTCCGACATGTATTTTGCTTCAAATGGAAATTAATTCCCTTTTATAGGCTCCTTCTTCGAAAAATTATTTTCAAGAAAATCAATGATTATGAAATCTCCTCTTATATATAAAGTAGAAATATCACTGTGAGATTTTCCGACCATTCTGGTTGGTCTTCAGTTTTTCCAGAAAGTATTCACATAGGTACTTCGCTAATAACCTCTTCGTCTTAATTACGTTCACGATCAAGTAAGAGTTGGAAGTGGTACTGAAGAGATGCACGTAACGCTTCCGATATAGTTAACTTTGACATCCGTTAATTAATTCCGTACAGTAAGGGGAAAAAAAAGTGGAGTCAAAGTGATGATTCTCTGCAGTGTGGAAGAAATATTTGCTAGGCTAGAATAAAAAGAGCTGTATAGGTCAGGCGAAATAACTAAATTTATGGGATAGGAGGAAGAACATTTGGATCCAACCGAAAAACAATTTAATAGCTGTTGATGTTCTAAGCTTAACTTGGTCTAAGATATGCAAATACTATTGATACTGTTTCCAATGAGGCTTTATTCCAAATGAGGCGCAATTCTAATGAGGCACTCTTACGGAAAGCAGAGATCCAAGTTTGGATTTGTTTCATTGAGACTTGATGGTGCAATTACTGATGATCTAATTAGAATTTAAATAAATATTTCCGAAAGAATTAGTGCAATTAAACAAATTTGGGAGAAGTGGACAACTAGATAGTTGCTATATATAAGTACATATAAGCGTCGTCTGAACAAGTTTTTGGCAAGATATTTTAGAAAGTTGAAAATTTACCTACTCCGCAACTTTCAACACGTCGGGCTTTGTGTCGTATTTTGCTAACAGGACAGTGATACTAAAGGTAATTGTATCCTTTATTGTCATTTTCCCATTTTCAAATTTTTTTTTTTTCCAGAGAATATATGAAATATGAAGGAATATACTTCATCGAGAAGGAAAAAACCTAGTATTATTTAAATAGACAGAAACTTCCTACCATTTTGTATGATTGCGCTTGATTTCAGACGCCCAAACGTAGCAGTTCATCAGCAAACACACGTGAGCGCATCTTTGGTGATGGTGTGGAGCAAGTGACACCTTCTAAGAAAGTTTCAAATACTTTCAAATCATCGATTTTTGAGAATGATGCATCTGAATCACCTACTCGAACACCTAAAAAGACAATACCTGTACTTGGTTAGTTTTCTGGTCGTTCTTTCGAATAGCTGAAACGTCTAGACTTAAGAAATTCCACATTGTTCATTTTATAACTTTTGTAAAAGAATGGAAGACTATTAATTGCATGCAGGGCGATATTTGATGTTGTAATTATAATGTAGTTACAATATTTTAGTTAACAATGAACATTTTCATAAGAGAAACAAAGTGCAATTTTTGAAACTGATTTTGAGTGCCATCATTTGTTTATATTTAAAATTGTTTGACTGCATCGAAAAAAACAACTAAATTCACAGCATCGCGAGAGTGATCATTGCTTACATGAATATACAAGTGATGAAGGAATTGTACGACTGATATCATCGTAATAGCCTATTGAAAATGTCTTATGATGTCAGCTATGTTGCACTCGTCCCATCTAATCTGATCTTTTGATTAATAGTGCTTCCCTGCTTGCTTGTGGAAGAATCTTACTTGTACAGTAATTACGATAAGATGATAGATAGATCGTTTTTTCGAACACTAAACATCAAAACCAACCAATATTGAACAGAAGATTGCGAAAATTTGATCCCTTAAAATGATTTATTCTATTTCTATAATATCGGCCATCACTTCTACTGTTTTCTAAAAATTGTCTTACGGTATACGCTGACAAAGATCTTTATCGAAGTTCTCAAATTTAATCAAGATCAGGTCGGTTGTAAATTATTCCATTGAATGAAGGATGAGGATGAGCCACTGAGAAGGAATAAGAGGGAAAAGAAGAAGAGCTAATTAACCTGAATAAATTAAATCGGGAGTTTAGTTTTATGTACAATTGTTAAATTACTCGATTTTTTGTTAAAAGACGTCATTTTAATGAAGTAGTACGGGTATACACTCATTCCTTTCTATATTGAAACTGCAAAAAAAAGTAACCTTTCCAGATTGATTGGAATTATTCGCATGAGTGATGATGTTTTTTGAAGTCAGGAAACGTGAAGTCAGTTTAACTACCTGTTCGCACTTTTATATTCTACGCCTTCAAGGGCATTCTCATATCAGTACCATGATCAAAAAAATTAATGCGGAATTTTTTTCCTGACTTCAAAAAACTTTTTGGATACTTTTCAAATTGATTTTATAAAAATAGCGAAAAATTTAGTATTCAAATCCGAAAACTAGACTTGGGAAATTTTGGTACTCTGGGCACGACATTCTAAATGTTCCATTTACATTTCAGACCGAAATCCGATAACTGGTGAAGTAAAATGTCCAGCGAAGATATCAGCTTGAATTTGTTTTCCTTCCATCGCTGAAAAGAGTTTTTCGTTGATACAATTCCCATGAGAAACAAATAGAGCATGATATTTGTCAAGCAAATGTTGTTTTTTCATTGTTAATGAATCATTGCGGTATCATTTGGCATAATTTTAGTATTTCATTTCATTAACATATTCATTTTGTTAAGGAATTGTTTACCATTTTTGGCTTGATATCGGAGTGGTATCAAATCTTCATTATGTAAATGTATTCATAGTTGTTAACTACAGCAAGCAATTCGTCATGCTGAAGAGTAACCATTCTCGACAAGGGATAAGGAAAGTTCGTTTCTTCAGTTTTTAGGCGCATATTGTTCAAGTGACATCTTCTAGATTCTGTCTACACCGTTCACTCAGCTTCCCAGTTCTGTGTTTGAATGCATCTGTTAATCACTGATAATGCTTACCCATCCTGAAAGACATATTTATTACCTTTACTCATCTTTTAAGCAAAGATTTCTTATATAAATTAATACGACATGAAGGAAATGGTCGTACATGTCATTTCATGCCACTCAAGCAAATAAACTTAGACAATCGAGATAATAATGGGACAACAAAACCATACGGTTTGAGGTCATTAAAATTCTCGACCACCATTCATTAAAAAGACAGAAAAAAAGCACGAAGAAAGGGATTCAGGAGATGGGTTTTTTTCGTCCATATCCATAAGTGTCCCTCAATTTGTTGTGACTTTAGTAGCATTTGGCTCGGTAAATCTTTCAAGTTTAAGAGTAAAATTTGATGATTTTATCGGTAGGGTAAACGAATGAAGTACACGCGGCCATTTGCCTATTCTGCACTCGAATGCCCATCATGACCTAAGGACTATTAATTCTCAATTCTTGAAAGAGTAACGAATTGAACTTGTTGAAATTTCAGTTCAGTGGTATTGAGGATCCGAACTACTACATTCTGTTCACGATGAAAGCGTATTCTTAGAGGTTTTTTTGCAGAAGTTGTTGAATACATTAGCTCCGACACAACAGTTATCTTTGATGAAAAATTCTGGAATAAAACAAATCTGTGACTCATACCAAAAAAACATGTAAATACTTCCGATGTGCAAGAACTATCAGATACATTCAAAAAGCAAAAAAAAAAACATGGAGGAACTTTTTTTACCCACTACAAAATCAGACATATTTTTCGACCATCTCACATTATCAGTTCGATCGATACAAGTTCAATCCAAATAAGCCTTTGACAATCTCATGTTAATTACAGCACCTTTAGATAGAATGCCTCTTTCAACAAAAAAATCCATCTTATTCTGTGACAGGCTTGTCTTAGAAGTTTCAGACAGATTGTCCACAGATATTAGCCGTCTCGTGAATTTTTAACTAAAAATTCTAACCGAAATGAGATCAGGACTATCAGCATGTTGTCAAATTTTATTTGGGAAGATATTGTTGCGTGATGATTAAGCTTGAATTTCAATTTTTGGAGTGAAAACAGATAGCGACCTTATAAAGTTGTAAAGGTAGTTCTCTGGCAGTATAGTACTAATGATCTCGCCAGTAACATCAGTGCTATCACTGATCCTAATAATACGATTAACTCTAATTATGTTATTTCTTTATGTAATTGGTGCAATAGCATCATAGCAGTTGTCGCAAACTTTTTTTGAAAAGTTTTTACTGACACGAATCGCCTCTCACCGGAAATGGGAGAAATGCCAGACTGATTAAATGGAAGATCGTGGTAATGTAGTTATTGATGTAGTTTTATTTTGATGACTCATCAAGGGTACAAACTATGACTCATCGAACTATCTGCTGATTTGTGATGAACCAATAGTTGAAGTTGAAACTAAACTTATTATTTTGCAGGGAACAACTGGATTGTATTGGAATGTATAAGAAAATTAAGTTTTATATGCTAGCTTTGCCACAGTCATGTAATGAACAAATGGTAATATCGTTCTCGGTCAGTTGACGTTCAGGTTTCTTGAACAAGGATAGTACTAATGTCTTTTTCGGTTCGGTCATCGTAAATGCATTATCGGAGAACCATCCGATTAGTCCTGGAGCTAACTCCATGTACACGAAAGGTGCTATTTTGTCGGCCTCTAGCTTCAACTCATATAACATGTCATTTTTTATGTGCAGTTTTCGAATCCAGACTTTTCCGAAACTCACTTCATCTACCTGAAATAATTCCAGCAAGGCACTAAAGTTATGCTGACAGTGAAACTTTTCCTACCTTAAACAGCTTATCAGGCAAGTGAATGGTATCATAACCAATTTGAGTACCATTACTTGACAACATCCTTCCTCGCAAGACATATCGGTCGCTTCTTTCCTTTCTACAAAACAAGGAGTTTAAAGAGCATATTCGAGCATATTCATTTCCAGACTTGGGAATTTCTCCTGCACGAATACAAAGCAAAAATTTGATAGAAGTCATTGTAATTTTCGTTTAGGAGACTCAAATACAGTTGACAATCTTTGGTGTTAATTTGTGTAACAATTTTATGGAATTTTACGGAATTTTATCGAATCATGGAATCTATGGAATTTTGTCGAATTTTCAAAAAATAGGGAATTAAATGGGACAAAATGAACCTTATTCCGTTGAACATTGCTTCATCAATAGGGATCTCAGTAGATGACTGCGGGGGAATTGAATTAATTTCCTGTTTAAATGAGTGAATTGGAAGGAAACGATCAAACCAGAAAACTTCCAAGATCACTGTTACATTGGATATTGGTTTTATTAGATCTGATACAACAAATAAATGAATGTCTTCGCCTATTGCCTGTAAAATATTTATGAAAAGAAGAATCAAGAGCAAAAATTTCAACAATTTACTGCCAAGTTTATTTTTCAAGCAAATTAGATGAAAACTGAATTGCATCCAAAGATGAGCAAGTATAAGTGATTCCACAAGTATACTTGATCTTCTAGTTCTGTCCTCAGCTTGCAAAATTTAAAGAAATTTCAATTTACTCTCAAGCAGAAGCAGCCGGACAATGCAGAGACAAGGAATCCATTTTGCTTCGAATTTGTTCTGTTCCATTTAATTAAAATCACGTGGATTCTTGCATAAATCAGTACTGAAGTGGTACCATCACTACTTGCGGATTATTCCAGGTGAATTAATTGGTGATAACGGACTAGTAAAGTGATAGCGCTTATTTTGTTATCAAATAAATTGAATGAAAACCACGACTCACCACAGAAAGAATAACTGGTGCAAAGAATCGACGAGCAAAGTAGTGAGCGGGTTTCCATGAAAGTTCAAAATCGATTGTTGACCAAGTCGGTGCCGCCCATAGATCGTTCAATTGCCAGTATAGAGCACACATCGTATTACCACGACCATCTTCTGTCAACCGTCCACGCCATCTGGAACTTGTAACTTTCCATATGGTATATATTCTACCCACCCTGACCATCTCTCTATTTTTCCTAAAGAGAAGGGAACTAAGTAAAAAATTGGGCTGTTGGTAAGTGAAACTTAGAAGCCGGATAAAACATATGAAATCCTAACACTTTTCATCATTCGTCAACTTCCAACAGTACTTCCTCTCATTGTGAATACATAGAACTTCCTCAGCTTTTTATTACTCCCTCATATGGCTATTACTTTTACTTGGCTTCCCGGCACATCTTGTATATTCTATTTTATTTAGCATTATGCGAAGCTAATGCGAACATGGCAATGCATATTTCCTTATTCTGTTACATATGCGGATTTACTATAAAGCTTACCTTCGATAATGCTCCGTCTGTACTTGATAAGTGACCGCTTGGTGGAACTGGGACAAGTACACGAAACGGTCCATGAACTTCTCCGTTTTCAGATACATGCAATCTTCGTTCACTACCTTCCCGCATTCATTCGGAATCTGCAACTAAATGTCTTATTAACAGCTTATGGATAAAATTTTGGTTTGACTAACACTGATCACTAAGGATATACATTCTTATCATTGCATACAAAATTTTGCATGTTAGGTATGAGCATAAATTTAAGCCATTAGGTTAAAGAGCCTTCGATTTACTGAACCTTCTCGATTTTATTTTTCTCTATTCACAAGTCATTAGTTTGTCAAAACGTAGGTGTAGCTACAACATTGGCAGAAATGAGGTGAAGAAAAGAAAGACTCAGAGTTATTCCTATGAGGATAGGAAGCATGTGCAATTGGAGCCTAAGTTAAACAATTTGATAAGTTAATCTTGGCGACATTCTCCACTCTTCCGCATGACGATTAAATCTTCTCAAAGAATGAGGTAACCCTTGATAATATCCAGTGAGAAAATATCCAGTATTTAATATGGTATTTTAATTACCTAATCAAGAGATAAGCATTTAGTAGCTAAATCAGAGGAAAAAAGATGAAACAAGTAACAATTCAGATTACTTTGAAATGTGAGAAGACCATAGAAAGTTGAGCCAGGAATCCACCAGGATGATGCTGCCTACGTCTCATCCCTTTACTTGTATAGGACCAATCTGTTTCATTTAACCATTTCAACATCGTTTCTCTGAAAACAATCACACAACAACCAAAATTTCAGAATCTCTATCTCCTCTTTCTTTTTCCTTTCAATACTCCAACTGCACTGGGATTATATGAGAGAACGAAAAGTTTTTTGAGACAGACAAAAACAAAGGCCAAATCTAAAAGCTTATCCTCTCAGCCTCAGGAAAAGCAATATTTCCGATATGGCAAAGTAACATCACTGATGATCGATATTATTTCTTCAGTATTCCCCATAGTCATAAAAAGCATTCCAGATTCTGACACTGTGCTAACCTATATAAAACAAGGGTGAGTAGCAGTCTTACTTTCTTGGGAACGACTGTACACCATATTCGGAAGAGCATCGTGGAATTTGATAAGTCGAATCCTTCCACAGATCATCCATTTCATTGTAGAAGTGAATATCACCGTATTTCTCATCAGCTGGATATTCCGCAACACCTCCTTCTCTAGGAGATTTAAAAAAATTTTTTTTACTTACAGAATCTTCAATATGGTATTCCAATTATAACTGCAGTTGTAATAGCCGATGATAAATTGAAACAGTTTCTTCGATGACTCAGAGTAATTTGTTGTGGATATCAACAACTGCAACAAACATAATAATTACATTTCAGATTCGACTCCATTTGTTGGGCTGGAGAGCAGATATGGTCTGGTACCATCCAGTCGGGCAATAATTGGTCGTATCGTTTCATTATACAATTTCATATAGTCTGATACCTGTGAACTATTACATTTGAATGCAACGGAATTTCGATATTGAAATCTTCAATGAAAATTTTCAATGAAAATTTTCTTTTCGAAGAAAAAAAAATCTATTAAAGTTGAACTTATTTTGATCCTTTCTAGCCTCCTTTCTAATTACGAATATCTGAGAAAACTATCGAAATAAACCGAACGTATTAAAGTGTAGAAATAATAGAACACATGTACTGAAAATTCCAAACAAGCCAAAAAGGAAGCATGCAGACCGTCTACGAGAGGCTAATTTTGATCGCAATCATTGACTACCCACTTGATCAACTGATGGTTACTCTAGAAAGGTCATAAAACTATGAGATAGAAACCATAGTTTTTTTTAGAGAACAATGAATGTGAAAAAATATTAAATAAGAAGTACCGAGACAGCAAAAGAGTAATTTGCCACAAAGAACCACTGCCGAACACCCAATTCGTTCTCATTGTTCCCAGCCCAAACGAAAACTGATGGATGATGTCGAAGTCGGTCCACCTGTGATACTGTACTTCATATGCTATAATTAGGTTCATTTTTACAAGAAAGATTAATTTCATATGAAGATAACAACCTGAGCATCCACTTCTTCTCGAACGTTATCCAGATATTGCTTATCCACCGGATACAATGCACATGCAAACATCATATCCTGCCATATCATTAATCCCTGCAACACCAACAAGCATGATCTCATATAGCACAGATTTCTTTATGAGCTGAACAGAAATGGAGCAAGCATACACGCAAACTTGTTCGGTTGAATACTTCATTCAAATTAACCTTGGAGTTGGCTATGATTGAAGTAGACAAGAGTACAAACCACTCGAAAGGTGCTAGGACAAGGGAGTGGAACAAATGGATATATACTGCCACTTATCTGACCAGTTCATCGGCTAAATCGTAAAAGTGATCACTCTCATAGCGACCACCACCCCATACACGTAACACATTCATATTCGACTCACGGGCTGATTCAAGTAAAAATTTCTCCCTGAAACGATGGTTGCGAGCCGGAAATGCCGATAATGGAATCCAATTCGAGCCTGAAATTCAAATAATTTGGAATCAGCATGATTCGAAAAAGTAAAGTATAACGAATTGCCACATTCACTTGAACGAGGCTTTTCGAAATGTTGCTTTACCTCAAAAATGCTCATTTAAAAGCTTATATATGTTATTCTGGAAATTTTATTTCTAATGAACCATGCTGAGATGGAAAAACAAAAATAATCAATTTACAAAAAATCTCATTTCGTTTAATTTCTACTGATTGAGAGACAACCTTTAAGGAATATAGGTTGATTGTTGATCATGAAATAAAAATGTCTTCCCAATGTGGGTTTCTCACTATTCACACAGTCCTGGATGAGCTCAACTGTTCGGAATCCCACTCTTATTTTTTTATTAAAATTTTGTCCTGGAAAATGATCAGAAATAACCTATATCCAGTAAAACAGTTGAGACCAGAACGATTTGGTACCAATGCAAACAACATAGTCTTAAATGAGTTTACATTCCTCAAAATGATGATAAAATGTCAAATACTCTGTCCCAAAGTTTGCTACCTAAAATTTATCAATCTGAACATCTATAGTATTCGTTAATTCAACTTTTAATGAAACAACAAAGTTGCAATGACCAGCTGATTTCAAGTCTTTCTCGTTATGATTCGGTTCTGATTTCAGCATGGAAATTAATTTTTTTAAAGGTTAAATAACTTCTCATAAACCTTCATAAAACACTGAGACAACCAATTCGTATAGTTTCTGCTTGCCGCTACCGTTTGGCCACCATCTCTCAACGGCATCGTTAGGCACTAACATTCTTCGTTCCACAATATTTCGATCCATTGGATCAAATGAAGCAATGAACAGATTTGTGATGAAAATTTCGGGCAATGCTAGTGTCATTTCCGCATATTTGACCTTTACTGCACTCCACATTGTGATCCTTACCGAAATGATGAAGTACTGCTCTGTAATAAGTTATATCTAAAGTTTCAAATAGATAGAAAAGAAACTGCGGAATATTGGCCTGTAAGGAAGCATATCCTCCGTATATTAACATCTTAATATGGATAAATTAAATAAAGTGCCGTGAAAAGATTCCACCATATCATCATTACAACTATGTTTTCCACAAAATATAACATGAGTGAAGGAAGTGAAATCACTTTTAAATGAGACTACTGCCGATATTTTGTCCATGAATATCGAATGTACTCCTTCGATAGATATCGGCTTCCAAATCCCAACTGTTGGAAATGAAGGTCCCCAATCCCAGCTGAAGCTTGCTTGTATCTTCCTGTAAAATTTGCCGAAGCTATGTTGTTATCAAAGATATTCGTATACAGTATATTTAGTTGTAAAGTTTCGTTAAATCCATATGTATTTCATTAATTTAGAACAAAATCAAGTAGGCTGTACCATGTGGTACCAGTATTTCTACACTGTATAAATAATCCCATATTTTACTGTCATACTACAGTACCAAATATAATCTCGGTAATGTTTATAGATAACTGATCTGGATGATCATGCAACCAGTTGGCATAATTACACCTATTGAAACAAGTATTCGGTAGACTCAATCCATATAAACGATACCAAATCTATATAAACGTCAAAAAGTGTTCAAAACCAATACTTGATTTGGTCTTTGGTGCGAGCAGAATTTTTTTCTGAGAAAAACAGACTGGAGAATAAGGAAAAAACGTTTTAGCTTAAAATAAAGGTTAAAGGAACGGAAGGAAGATACAAACCTTATGAAGTTAATATGGCATTCGCCCTGGAATTCAGATACTGGACATATGGGAGGAACAGTATGGCCAAATAGTTCCTATATTATTATTATTTCAAATTGGAAAATCAAATTCATGTCTAACAATTTTCTAATTTCTTTATTTATTTCTAATAAATGAAGGTGTTGGATGCTTTGTAACTTGGAAAATTGCTAATTTGGAAGGAACGAATGAGTAATAGGTTCCTGAACCCGTGATAATCTCATAATTTGGTGTTGGGAATTTTTCGAAATCAAATTTTAAGTGTTATTTGAATATGTTCATAATTCATAAGCTTAGCAAGCATGCAGTTGATGTGATAGGTGACCGCATGAAGTTTATTAAAATGAAAAAACTGAACTTGGTACTCCTCAGACTTCTGTTTTGCGTAAGTGATAGGAGATTTAAATTCGATGCGCAAATTGTTTCTTCCAATTTTCCACTGTTTTAGAGGTATCAGATATGAAACGAACTGATTGTATGTTCTGAGAACTAATGCATCATTAAAAAACACCTCGGCCACAGTGTCTAGTCCACCAATGTTCAATAACATTGCATTTATCTTTAATTTAATTAGTTTTCATTAAATTTAATAAAAATTTCACTTAATTTAAATACCAACTATCTATCACGAAGTACGATTTCAGTAATCGTTTCTATTAATTGACAAGACGGTATTCGCGTCTTTTTTTCATTTATTTCTACGTCCTGCTCAATCGTAAAATGGTGACAGAAATGATAACGAAGAAGAGACAACCAAATTCTTTCATTCGCTTAGTTCATTTTCACCTGTTTCATATCTTATGACGCAGTAACACTATTTGAAATATCCGAAAACATTACTGAAACAACTTAGAATAGATTTATTTATATTGATAATGTGATCCTTAGGAAGATGAATAAAACAGTACCGCAGTTTCTGCCTTGAAACTTACCCTGCTCCAGTTTTTGGGAATAACAAATGTAGTGTAATAAGTCCAGTCCGTTCGTGGGACCCATCGTAATAAACGATCGTTTTCTCCAAATAGTGGCTCGGAAATGTAGTTTGAAAGGAATAAATCTTGATAAATGTCTCCCGGTATTCGAGCTGATCCTCGAATAGAGCCATTTGCTGATTGAAAGTACCACTGGAATTCATCCAGATGAAAATTTCCATCGCTTTGTGTCACTCTTCCAAATTTGAATTCAAATATTAACAGAAGAGAAACAATGAGTAGCATTTCCAGCCTGAAAATTTTCATAATGGTATGAACATACATGATCTCTTTCAATCTTTTAATTTCTCCTTCATTTCGGCCTTATCTTGGCTCTACAAATCAGCTGGCCTAAATTAACAAATTATTTTATGAAATCATTTAACTCTTCTGTTTAAAACTTCTGCAGTTCCGTTTTTCATTCTTCTCTTTCTAATAAAAAAATAATACTAAAAAGAAGAGTTAAATAAATTCATAAACAGGAAATGAAGATTTCAAGCATCTCACCTTACTTCTTGACCCTTACATATCTAATTTCAAACATAATGGCAACATTCGTTTCAAATATATTTTTAAATTCATAAAATAGAGGAAAGAAATAGAAATTATCTACTTGCTGAGCTGACGTGTAGAAGGATTCTTTGGATCTGAATAAGAACTTATCCTTTGCTGCTCATTTCTTCCTTCAGGTTACCGCACTATGAAATCACTGATATGATAAATTGAAGAAACGCACTCTCAATTAGACATCCAGCTTTCTTTACGTAAACAACAGCTGCTCATAAAAAAACATTGAACTGAACTGTTGTGGGAAGTTATTAATGTTAGCACTCCCGCTGTATCGATTCATCTCATCGATTGTTCCTGAAGGGAACAATGTAAGGAGGCATTTGATCAAAATCATTTGATCAAAATGCTCTGATAACTGCGAAACAGAAGAGATAACAAAGGACACATTGGATATTAGAAGGCACAAGTGAAATATAAATGTCCAGGACAAAGTGAATGAAATTCATGGTCTGATTGTGGAGGATCTTTTGGCCAGGTTGAATATCTCTTTCCACATGCACTGCTGTTAGCTTAACTTTTTATTCAGTGTATTTCGTGCCGTAAATACTGAATTGTATGTTTACATGTATGAGCACAACTTTAACATGTCACATTTGCTGTTTATATGCTGTTTCAAGCAGTTCTGCTTCTGATTGAAGTTAACAAGTGTAATATGTTTTGAAAATAATTTTACTATACAGCGGCATTGCACAGAATGGCAGAACAGCTTTCAAAAATACACTGAAACAACTACACCACATCCTTCTACAGTACTTTGTAATGGGTTATCACGATAACTACTAAATTAAACCAAATTCTTTAAGCAGTTTAAGCAGTTCTGATTTGAACTTTATTTGAATGTAAATCAAAAATTTTCGCGCGAAAATGATCATCATGCAATATCGATGCCTGTTTATAAATTTTATGTTTAGCTCTGATCTAGTTTCATACTTATTCTAATCAAATCCAGAAAAAGAGGTAAAGGGAAAGACACAGAGTATATGTATGCACGTATATATGTAAAAACAGAATAGGAAAGTAGATCTAATTACCACTTTATACAACTAACAAACCCGTGACTCTAGCTTGACAAGAACACCTGATATTTAGTTAGGAAAGACTCCCAAAGTGATTTGTCGGAACAACTTCTACCTCTCCACCCACTTAATTCCCTGATATCTGACCTAAATATATTCCTTTTGATTGCGACCAATTCTTACTAAATAAGTAGGCAAGTTCTGCCGGTACTACAATGAGACGAAGGATAGAAATATCGGGAAAAATAGTTTTAAAAACAGTTCAACACTTGCTGTCGTGACTCCAGTTAAGTCGGAAGAAGGTTTCTTTATTCGTCTTGTTCAAATCATCCTCAGGAATTCGTTTGTTGAATTCCTTATCATTGGATAAAAATTCTCTAACATTCATTGACGCTTTCCTAAAAATTTCTTTGGTTCCGTGATATTTATATATCGTTTCTTTCGTGTCGTCTGCAGTCAAAATGATGTTATCAACATACAAGTTCTGTTTTATTTCAAAGGCCAAACTAGTTGCCGTGTGATCTAAATGGTATTTGAGGGTTGCCGCTAACAGGAAGGGTGAAGATATCACTCCAAACGGTACTCGTTTAAATCGGTAAGATTTGATGTTCTTCTCTGATACTTCCTCATCTAGGTTCTTGACCCATAGAAATCTTGTACAATTTCTCTCCTCAGGATGTAGTCCTATTTGTAAGAAAGCCTTTTCTATGTCAGCAATTATGACTAATTTCATCATTCGAATCCGTAACAATACACCGACTAGATCAGGTAACATTACCGGACCTCTATGGAGAATCTCGTTAAGACTTTTATATCCCTTTTGATGCGCAGAGGCATCATACACTATTCTTAATTTTGTAGTGTTTTTATTAGGGTTCCACAGTTCGTGATGCGGAAGATAATGTATGACACCTACTTCGTCATTATGAGGAACTTCTTCAATCATTCCTGTTTGTAATTGTTCTATGATTGTATTATGATATACCTGGAGAAGCGATTTGAGTTGCAATTTTTTGATTAACTTCTTTAAACGTCCCATGTATAAACCATAGTTGTCGCTTAAAATTTTGTTTAGAATCCCTCCATGGCCAGCAGACATGATAACGATCATCCTTTTTCGTGAGTGTTCTTTGAAAGTGTTTTAAAGTTTCTTCATCATCATTATCATTTGGAGACTCTTGAATTCCTATTGATTCTAATCTCCAAAAATTTTCTAGTTCTGAATTAATATTAGCCCTAACGGTACATACTAGATTTTGTGAAGGAATGTTATTTTGACAAAGTTTGCTTACATCTCCACTTTCGGCAATCATGGGGCCAACCTTTGACTGCACCAACATATGACCTGAACTCAATTCCTGTACGTTCTGCAATTTGATAAACTTAAAGAAGTGATCGGCTCCAATCAATATATCGGGTTTCTTCCAGTGATTTGTTAATTCTTGAAATTGAATTTCTCTTGGTGTATCCACGACCTTCAATTCATTGGTTAGGTGTTCGACTACGTTAGCATGTACTCTTATAACGTCGTCTTCCATTGTTTGCACGTTCAATTACGTAGAAGCCGTGGGACACAGCGTTGGATTCCTCATGCCAAATGGAATTATAATTTGTTTGTCAGATTCTGTTAACTTCAATTGTTGCGATAACTTCTGGGAAATGAAGGAGAGTTGCGAGCCTATGTCAAATAATGCTAAGGCCTTCTTTTGTCGTTGGGGTTGAGTTGGATTAAAAACTTTTACTTCCTTACATAAGAGTAAAGTTTCCTTTGTTGTATTTGTTCGAGTGGTGTTGGTTGAGTTATAGAGGGAAGCTGAATAATCCATTTTTGGAGGAATTTGAAGATTTTCGTGATAATCCTTAACTTCGGAATGAACCAAGCTATTTGATGAAGCTGTGCTTCTGCTGTCACATAGCGCACTGTTGTGGAGGGCTTTGCAATAAAAACATTGTTTTTTGATTTTACATCTCTCTCCATTGTGACTGTCTTTAAAACAGATCAAGCATTTCTTTAGCACTTTGAGGCGATTCCTTCTACCATTAGCAGTTGGATAGG